CGTACAACAATCTATGATTCTTAAAGACAGATTGAATTATCAGCAACAGAATCTGAAAGAAAATGATGTAAAATAACTACTATCACCTAATAAAATGGTTTTATATGCATTGATTATACCGTCTATAATGTCAACATTACTTTTTTAAGAAAGGTAAATGAAAAGAAAAGCGCAATGTTATATACAGCGTTATTTTGTAACTAAATTTGGCGTACATGTACTTGAATGTATATTGAAGAAAAATTAACTATTCTACGAATTCGCTTTTATCAAGTTCTATTATATGGGTTTGAAGAACATAAATATTTGTACATCTATCATACTTTATATAGTATAGCTAGTCAAACACTCATCAATACTAACCTGTTATAGAAAAAAAATAATTCAAGCGGTAAATATTTATGTCTACCAAGGTGAATGAATCCGACAAGCCGACAAAATCAGATCAGATTTCTGGTCACGAACCTACTAACGGATCTGACGGAAAAAACATTTTCTTAATCACTCATGAATAAGCATATATGGTGCTAACAGAACACATGGGTCGAATGCTTATGTTGGATTCCGTTCAATTCCGACACTGGAACCTATCGAATACCGATAGGATTTCGTCGGTTTAATGAAATTCATACTATATCCGATAAGATTCCTACACGAAGCCGATAGGATCCCACTATCGAAATCATTCTCCTGGGTATTCTGATTTTCGAAGATCTTACGCCTCAAGGGTATATGGGTATATAAATTAATCATACATTTATTCATTGCATGTCTACTCTGAAATCCCATGTTTTGACTTGTGTATACAGTGGTGCTTCTACTTGTGATTAACATTTTACCTATTGTGTAATGATCATGCATTCCACTATGATGTTCTCATATATTCAGACGATGATAAATAAAACTCTCTTTTAATGGAAAAATTTAAATATCTAGTAATCTAGTAATTAGTTATATCTGTTTGTTAATGATCTTGAATTATTTGTCAAAAATTTCTCTGATATTCTAGTTAATATATGTGGTTTGAAAGATAGAAGCCGGATACTTGACAATTCTCGGCTTATATAGGGAAAGTATTGCTGTTTGAAGACTGCTGACTATAGAGAAACTTCTATATCAGAGTAATGACTATTTTTCGATCCAATTAGTTTAGGTAAAAATTCCTAATATAATAGTGCTCATCTGTATGATAGCAGTAAAAGCAGAGATACCAGTGAATCAAAGAGCGAATGAGTTGCTGAGTAAGATTACATAGCATAGATTCGATCGATAACGGTGAAACAATTGTTTATCAATTTAGAATATTTTACCAGTCTATCTGAATTTATTTTTAGCTCGTGAAAAATTTTACCATAGAGTCGTTCTGCTTTTGAAATATAAATTAACTCAAAGGAATATCATCTAAGGTGAATTATTAAAATGGAATCAATACATTTTAGTTTCTTACTATTGACGATTTCCTCGTAGTTTTTTGATTTTATAAATACTCTTGAGAATAATACGATGTGAATATCAAAGTATACTCATACGAAACTAGTGCCGTTTGATTACAATCGAAAGCTCAGAAGAGAACAAACAGAAGTAATCTATGAGGAAAAAAAGTTGATTACCATAGTCACTCTAGGGGAGATTGTATAGCAAACGATATCTAAATACAATCATAATGTATAATAAAAATGTGTTAGATGGTAACAGTTCATAGCAAAAACAAAATAACCGAAGCCATAGTATTGAGCTCATTCCAGAACTGAGCTCTTCTAGAAAAAATTCACGATTGATTAATTTCTTTAATTTTTAGTAAGGATTGTTACATGGCATTTCATTTTCGAAAAGAATATTTGTTTACTCCCTTGACCAAACCAAGGCTGTTGCTAATAATAAATAAATAAATAAGTTTAGTGTTATTCTGAGATTGAACAATAGATTTAAGCTTACTTATTCGATGTGATAGCCAAGAAAAATGAATCAAGTTGGATGTATCGCTGTATTCAGCAAGTTTATCTTCATTCGAATGCATAATCTACTACGAAAACCAAGTTCTATCTGTATGAAATTAAAACCTACACTTAGTAAGAAAAGCAATTTATTCGACAAACAATGATGATCAGGTTTATTGACGTTTGCTGGTGTAAAATATAAATAATTTGTTATTGTGACAAAATGAAAAATCTAATCTATTTGACAGGAGTGACAGAATTCTCACTAGCAAAACAACGAGAATTCTGCTCTATCAACACCTATATGGCTTAAAGATGCAAAGAATAGTACAGAATTTTGTGTTATTTTATACACACCAGAGACGCACACAGGACAACAGGACCGCTCTGTCCTGTGTAGGTCTCTGGTAATAATTATTTTATCAACGAAAGATTATTTTATAAATTTTCATGATAATGTATGATAACAAATTAGCCAAGCATAAACAAAAGCTTCGCTCCTCTTTAGTATGCCTATAGTTTCTACTTGTTCCATTTAGTCGAAAACTGTTCTTAAATCTATCTTTATAAAAAATATATCAAGTTCCCAACTCGTACCAGAAAATAATTTAAATCTCTCAACATTTTTTTATCAACAATATCGTCTTCATATCTTCTCGCTACCACTTCTATTCACTATTGATATATTCAATAGCCTGGCAGCATTAAAACTTTGATTATTTTGTCATCTGATTCCAAAAAACATCATGAAATTCATTCTATTAAAGAAAAGAAAGGCCTTTATATTGAGCCAGTATCTATCTAAGTAATCCATAATATGTGCATGAGTTTCACATTTTAGACTCAATGAAGCTGTGTTGAAAATGGGTATGGGTGTGGTTAGCGGGCGTGGGCGTGTATAGCGTTGTAATCAAGATGCAGATCCGCCCACACCCCCACACACCCTTGTGAATTTTCATTTTTAAGAAAAACTTGTGCTTCATCAATGGTGATTTGTTTTTCTCATTATGTTTATTCAATAATGATTGCGCATCTCTTTACACGTTTAATTCCATTTCAATTTGTTTCTTAATGAATTTATTTGTTCTTCAATTGGCATCTCTTCTGCTTCAATGAAAAATTCTTTTCTTGATTAAAAAGAATAAAATGGGTGCAAAAACAATCGATTTTCACTCGTGTTTTAATTTTTGTGCATTTTAATAGGCAGAAAAAGAACAATCATGATAACATACGCTATAGTTTTCCTTCGTTATTTATGAGTACAATGAATATTGATCTAGATATATAACGTGATGCGAATAATCTATATTCCTATGTGTTCGAACAAACCTTATTATCATGGCGTCTCATTGACAATAGCAATGTGCTACTTTCCAAGTGTTCGATTATTTTGAAAGAATAAGAAACATATGGTCATAGACAATACGTCCACACCCCACCCTTCTCCAGAAAATATCATTTAAGGAAACTTGATTACACGTAGGACCATCAATATTTTATGTTATTCTTTGAACACAATACGACACAAAATAAACACATCGGAGTTTTTTTTAAGAATTGATTCTTCCCACTAGTTACAGCATTGTTTGATTTTTAAAAGGACAAAATCGATAGTCCCAAAGAGCTCCATTCAATGTCGCATGGTTGTCTGTAAAGTGAAATTTTCCGGTTTGACTGTGACCGTAAATCGTTGAGTTAGTAGTCGCCGTCGACGAAGTATTTGTTCGTAGAATTTTTTCTTAACACCACTAATCGATGCAAGGCAAATGAAAGGAAAGAGAAAAATAAAAAAATAACAAAGAAATGTGAAATACTGAGCCCCTTCAGCTACAATATCATATGATAAACCGCAAAAGGAAGCTATGCTAATAATACTAAGCGGCATGTTGAAAGCCATGTTAAGAGAGGAGAGTAACATGAGCTGAATTGCCATTTTACGGTGCTTGCGCCAGTGGATTGGCAAATGAGAACGATGTTTCTGCCATATGACTCGAAAAATAAAAGCCAAACTTATCAATGCTTCGAGAAATGTTGGTTATGCAATATCGACAANCTGCCATAGGACTCGAAAAATAAAAGCCAAACTTAGCAATGCTTCGAGAAATGTTGGTGATGCAATATCGACAATCCAGTCCCACATGCCCATGATCGGATCATTCGCATAGCATGGAAATTCACTGCAGTATAGCAATGTATAATCGTAAGTATTTTCACAAGGAAAATAATAAATGGCATAAATATAATAAATAAAAATATATAGGATTAAAAAAAGCATTGGAAAATAATGTATTATGATGCGTCGCTTTCTTGTTGAAATCCATTGTTCATGAAATACAATAATGTGCCGTTCAAAAGCAGCCCAGGCCATAAATATGACTCCTCCATCGTACATACCAATATTCACAAACCACCACAAGAGACAAGTCGATGGCTTTGATGGAACAACACTCGAATGAACGATAAAATTGAGATAAAAAGGAACATCGATTAATTGAGAACCGATGCCAAGAAGCAATAGAATAACGAGGGCATGATTCTTTATGCTAGAGCGTAATTTTCGATCAATAAGGATACAGAAAATAACAAAAAATGCACAAGCTACGGATGGAATATCAAATAGAAGAAGAATCCAAAAGCGAGCATTACGTGATAGAGAAATTTCGGTGGTAGCTAATGAAATATTTTCTGTATTATTTAAAATTTGGTTGTTATCCATATCTGAAATTTTCAAAATAATCGAAGAATAGTGTGGCAGATGAGAATAAACTAGAATCTGCATCGAATATCGCCTAAGTTGCAGCTGCGATTTCCTATAGATTTTTCTCCTTGACCTAATTTATCCATCAAGATTATTTATTTTCACTGGAAACAATAAACAAAAGGGGCAGTATATGTATTTTACATGATCATTGCTTTCAATGAAACGGCGTTCGATCATAGTTCTATATAATAAATAATTAAGCCAGTATCAGTCGTATAACAAAACTTGCACGGCAATAGGTGATAATGCTCAAAGAAACATTTCTCAAATCTTTATTAGTACTACGAAGGAAAATAGCAGAAAATGTCAGAAAGTTATTCAAGAACAAAAGATATCATATATGATTATAAATAAGAATGTTCAGTAAGTTTTCACATACTGTACTCAACCGTACGCTAAATCGTTTCATTGATACTTTCTCAACGATCATATTTTCTGTTACTCAGTCAGCGCTCGATTGAAATGCTATTTAATATATAACGAACTTAGTATTAACTCACTATGATCAAATAGAAGTAACTAAACAACGATAGTGGCGTTCGCTAGTCTTATTTTTTCTAATTCAAATAAAGTTTCAATAAAAGATCCTGACTTATAAACCCATGTATACTGTCATTAGAGTATTTTACATTTGATACTTCAGACTTTAGATAGAATAACTCATACATATATTATCATTCAAGTATACCGAGCGCATACGTGAACGAGCAGAAAAATAACACAAAAATAGTGAGTGAACAGTAAAAGTAACTATATTCTTTCTCGCAGAATCATCGTGAATTGTAAAGTGGAGCGTAAAAGTTTAGAACTTTCACGTCAATGCTTCTATTTAGCATGAAGGATTTAAATAACATAATTATTATAAGTTATTACGAGATAAGCTTACAGCCCATACTGATGTAAAGATCAAATTTTCATCTAATGTAATGTTATCTCTACCGGAAATGAAGAGAATGTCTGAATATCATAAACCAATTTTATTTATTACTAACGGAAAAAATATTATTACAAGTTTCAATCTTGATGAATTTCGTTTAGAGAGAAAATTGAATGCGAGTAAAAAATGGTTATCGGTCACAATACAGCAACATTGGAAATTTATGGCACTCGCACTCTATAGTTTGGAATGTTTGTTCTAATTCGACACGAGAACGCCATGCACTTGAAGGAGGGCAGGTATTTTTCATCGCGTGTTATCATTGAATGCGGTGTTTTCGATTTACAATCATCCTTATTCTAAATAGTGCCATTACTCGGTTATTCAAGACATGATTGAAATGAGTTTCTTCTCTTTAGTGTTTTGGAACTATCCAAAATATTGTTTTTCACATCACCATATGATTTTTTGTGAATTAAAAATCGATCTTAGAAAAATATTACTTTATTGTTGTACCCAGGTCGAGCATTACGGCTACCAGAAACGGTCGTATACGGCCGTAAACGTTAACGTATACTGCCGTTTCCTGACGTTTCTCACCGTAAATGACTGTAACTTGACGTTTTGGTATGCACTGTATTACGACCGTAATTAATCGTGTCATAAACGGTTACTAACGACGGTAATGTGGTCGGATATTTCCGTATCCGATCGTTTATGACACGATACAAAACAACTGTAATACGGTGCATACCAAACGGCCGTAAATTATGGTCAAACGGCCGTGTACGACACAAGTTGATCCACCTGGGTAGGGATACACTTTTAAAGACTAGTATAAGTCATCCTCACTACTGAGATTCACAACTCTAGCTCGTCATTACTTCGCATTCAACACATACTTACAAAGAAGAGGCAAAAGCCAGATAGTGAAATGATTGTAGAAAGAAGCACAGAAAGATGAGATGATGACGAAATAAAATCAACAGGAAATCGTGACAATATCAGTAAGATTATGTTTAATTAAAAACAAAAACAAAAAATAATTTCTTTAAAGAACAAAAGACTTTTTTAATGAAGCACTGTTTAGAACGTCGAAACTTGTAAGATGATCTACTCTTTCTTTGTTTAAGAAGCAACTATGTCGCTCTTCAATCTTCTTCGACTAAATTATTTTATAAAACTAATTTGAGTGTGTCTTCTTATATTCGTAAAAGTAGAAGACAACAGTTGTCAACTAGGGTGTGTGTGTGAGGGTTTCATTCAGGCTTTATTGATACAAACACCCACACCCTGATATCCTCACACCCACGCTCACACCCTGATACCCTCACCCACACCCACACCCTCACTGTGTGTATACAGTAAGACAGAATTCTCTATTGGTATAGTGTTCATTGCGTCTTTAAGTCATATAAGTATTATTATTACAGAATTCTCGTTGTTGTTCTGGTGAGAATTCTGCCACCCCTTGAATCGAAATGGTGCGAATCACTTGAGAATGTTCTCCCGTGAGTCTTTTGAGAGAAATATCATCATCATCGGTATTCACCTTTACTAGATCTTTTGTATGATATGTTCGCGGTGTCAAATAGAATTCAGTATGCTTTCTCATATGTTGACATACCATCAGAGAGAACGTGAAAAGGTCTACAATCCGATGGGTAAATTAAAATAAGTATGAACTATGATAACTGAAATATTTCATTAAAATGATTGGCTCCCGAAAGGAAATACAGTGGATTTTAGTGCAATAGAAAAAGTAATGCAGATGATGTCTAGATTTGATATAACGATTAAATGTGGCTTAAAATGTCGATGTAGCATCAAAACTAGCATAATGAAAACGGAAAAGTCGTGTTTGGACAGGAGACCGATTTCGGCTATAAACGTCCCCCGTCCTTTGTATTTTTACTAACGAGAATAGTCATATTTTTCGTACTCCTTAAGTTAGGTAAGTTTTTATTCTCTGCAATTATTCTTTTTTCAACAAAAAAATGGCAAGAGTAAATTCACAGTTTGATACTGAAGAAGATGATGATAGAAATGATTTACGTTATTTTGATATTCCTTATGTTGCCAATTGCGGCTAACAATTTTTTTTTTCTACTTTTCTAAATTCACCATTATTACCCATAGAACAAACTATTGAACAGTTAGTACAACTAATTGATGATATTGATACAAATGTTTATATCATCAAACAAGAATTGAGTGCTGATAATCCCAAGGATCTGGCGCTAGATGAATTAGCAGCCAATCATCTCTACACTTTGGAAGAATCCCCACACACAAAATGCGTTTCCTATCGTCTTAACCACGCAATTCGTCGTGGACTTCTGGAAGAACTTCAACTATGACATTCATACTTAAATTTAATATTAACAGCTCTTAACAAATTACCATCGATAGAGCGACACTGTACAGTTTATCGTGGTGTACGTGTACGTTCATGTGACTTATCTGATGAGTATAACGAGGACGGTATATATACACGGTGAACTTTTAGTTCATGTTTACCATCGTTAGATCAAATGAAGTTACGCAGGTTTTTAGGTACAGGAGGCGTTCGTATTGTCTTTAAAATTGATTGCTATAGCAGCAAACGAATTCCATGGTCGGATGATGACGAAGCTGTATTGATGCCAGGATTTTATTTTCAAGTTGTTGGAAAATTACGTTCATCAGATGATCTAAATACAGTTTATATTCGAGAAAAACACCATCCTCCGTTGAAATGATGTCATCTGTACGAATTGTTAAGGCAGTATAAGAAGAAGAACCTCAAAACTCGTCGTCAGTAGTAGCATTTGAAACAGAGCAACAAGAAAAACCATCAATAAAACGACGGCAATGTTTCAAGAAAACTGACTCTAACTGTGAGATCAATTAAAGATGGCGCTGCGACACTTGTTTGTATCAAAATATTATGTGAAACTGTTTCTTTTTCGATAAAATTAAAATTCTTTCTGAAAATAAATTCAAATTCTGGTAAAAAAAAGCTGTCTGCAACCTTTCCTAATCGGAACTTGAATTTGTAAGGGTTACCGCCGAATTTTTAACTGACACAATTTACGCGAAGCTATACTGGAAATAAATATGTACCATGTGAAAGAAAGTTGAGAAATATTAGCTCAAAATTTCAACTTCAAATGTATTGAGAACCGACTGAGAGGCATCAAACGGTAAAGCTTATCTTATATCAGTGGGAATAATTATATTCGATTGGGTAAATCATCAGAGCAATAGAAATTGGCGAATCAACAAAAATCTTGTGATTAATATGTTATTACAGTGTCTTCCTTGTAACACAGATACTAATGAGTGGAATGCGTGTGATTATAGTAAATATGTGTAGCTGTCTTAAAGATAATTTGGAATAAAGTCATGGGTAAAGCTCGTGGATTTTTAACTCCAAAAGCTATTAGTAATCGAATAAAATCAAAAGGTTTACAAAAACTACAATGGTATTGTCAAGCATATCAAAAACAATGTCGGAATGAGGTAATTTTTTATTGTAATAATGAAAAAGAATAATTCTATTCTCGAGTCGTAGCAAACATCACTTCGAGCCTTTTCTTTTTCACGAAAGAAAATTTAACTGCGAATATATAACCAAATGGAATTCAATAAGAAAAGTCTAAAATGAGTTCTTGATTTTTTTTAAAATCTTTTTCAATAGAATGGATTCAAATGTCATATTTTAAGTGAATCCCATCGACGACAAATATTACTTGCCGGTGAAAATCTTGGAAAATATATAGCGGATTATTCATGGTAAATAGATAATGAATGATTCTTTCACTGAATACATCTTTGCTTTTCTTTTGTTTAGTAAATTTCATAGCGAATTGTTCAGTACATTAAGTCGTTCATTGGGCAGAAAACATATCTTAGCTAATACAGTCTATTGTGAATATATTAAAGATCGTCATCATATTCATATGACTGCTACACGTTGTTTAGCATTGACTGGTTATGTTCGTTGGCTTGGAAGTCAAGATAAAATAATGAATTTAAATCAAAACTTCTACAATCTTTCGAATAGATCTTCATTTTCTCATTCTGTTTTTAGTTCTATTTAGATAAAAGAAAGAGAAAGATATTGAGCCATCAGCACCAGTTTATACTGAATTCGTTCGAAAAGATGAAGAAAAAAGTAATTATGTGAATTGTCTTGATGGAGTTCGAGACGTGATTTGCTTCGAATTTTTGTATTTGTTAATATAAAGAAAAGAAAAAAATATTTTAGATGGAAGAAGGTTCGAAAGAACAATTTTGAATTAAATAAGAGCATTTATTTATCTTTTGAAAGAATATTCCTATTGAAGTTCAAAATCGGTATCATGCTATTATTAAAATGATTGATACAAATGATAAAATTCGAATTGATGAAGTTCATATTGAAACAGTTATACCTGCCATTGGTAAAAAAAAAATTAATTGTTATTGGAGCACATCGTGAACAATTAGCAATCTTAAGAGATATTCATCCAGATTCATTTTCGATTGATGTTACGTTACTAACGGTTAGATTCGAGAAAAATATTTTTTGTTAAATATTCGTGTAGGTGTTTGTTGTTTTAGACTTCAATGTTATGAATTTAGAGTTCTCTTATTTGAAGAAAAAAAAACAGATTTATCAAAATGATTGAGTTGAAGAAATTGAATATTATCAAAAGAATTAAAGATATTTTCATTACTATTTATTCAGATAAAACAAAAATCAATTTTTATATGTTTGTAAACTAATTTGTTTGGGAGTTGCCGACGACAACGCTTGAAAGTCTGTGTTGACAAACAAGACGAATTGCTGAACTGGTATGTCGCTTCTGAGTCGAGACTACGTGCTTAATCACTATGCTGCCACACCAGCTATGAATACATCTTAAAGCACTTCAGACACATTGTGATTTCGGAACTGTTTTAAAAATATTAGAAAAGTCATCGATATACATATAATGAACGTAGTTCCCATTTAAACACGATTATTCTCCTAGAAGATTTTATTATGAATATAAGAAAAACTTCGAGGCTTGATATTTTCTCCAAGTAGAAGCGTGAAACCATTATACAATATATTTATTCAAAATAAGGACTAAACTAAATAATTGAACTATTCACATTTGCAATTTCTTGTTCATTACGACGATTAGCGTGCTTTCTAAACCGAACATACTTAACAATTAATCTCGTTAAATTCAACCAATTTCGTTTCCAGCCTCAAGTATATATGAAAGGATTTGAATTCATTCTTCTTTAAAATTAAATATTTCGAATAGGTACATTGTATTATAACGCACATTGGTGGGTAACGGGCACTCTGTGTACTGATTCATTCTTTCATTTTATAGCTGTTTAGATCAGTCTCTTTACTCTTTCAAACAGTATAAACCGCAAGTTTCTAGTTAGCTGCACTATGGTCCTCAATTCATTCCAAAAATCAATTCATCACAATATTGCCTGTATACATAGAGAATAGCTTATTCGTTTTGAAATAAACAACTACATGATGATTAATCATATGAATATATAAGTAACGAATCAGTCTGTTTTTTGAATTTTACGTAAAAGTAAAATAGACTTTTCATTAGCCGTTTTCTTTGTTCTTATAAAAATCTCTGCTGTATCAAAAGTTCAATCTGTTCATCTTTCAATTTCTGTAATCATTTGATTTCTGTTATAATGAAGCTTTATTTAATATTTATATTTTCACTAGTATATGATTGTCTTTTATGTTTTTTGTTGAACGTTTAGAACTAAAAGGAGAGACCTTTTCTAATGTTCGCTAGACGAGAGAATATACTTATGTACTTGAGTATGTAAACTTGAGTAAAATTAAAATAAAACGTATAAATAATAATTTCTGGTAATTAATATATCATTCTAGAGAGTAAAATATCGTCGTCAATCTTTTTTTTGTCTTGTTGTCGATCCTTCACGATGGCTATTGCAGCAAAACAGATTCTTCGACAAAAGATTCGTCATATACTCAAAACGATGTCTAATGAAGATCGTATCTATCAATCGAATATAGTTACTAATTATCTTCTTCATCATCCTAAATATCAATCATCTCGATCAATATCAATTTATGTTAATATGAATACTGAAATATCTACTCGTAATATAATTCAACATGCATTCCAATCTCAGAAACGTGTTTTCATTCCACGCTACTGTTCTAAATCAATGAATATGGTACGTGTTTATTCTTTGGATGATCTCGATTCCTTACCTATGACGAAATGGAATATTCGACAACCAACTTTAGATGATCACACTCGAGAAATAGCAACAAATAACATCGATCTTATTATTGTGCCTGGTCTAGGGTTTACATTAGATGGCTCTCGTCTTGGCCATGGAAAAGGTTATTATGATAGATATTTAAATTCATTAGATGGAAATTTCTATACTATTGGGCTAGCATTCCGTGAACAAATACTTGAAAAGAACAGTATTCCAATGAATTCAGATGATATTCATTTAAATGAAGTATTAGTGTCAAAAGACGAATAATTTATTTTAAGAAATTATGAATTTTTCTGTTCTTATTTTATGGGCATAATAATTGTTCTGAAATTCTTCAATGATTTGCACTTAATATTCATAGGTTAGTTGGTTACGGAATAAAATAATTCTGGGTGTGAGGGTGTAGGTATAATGTGAAGATATGCACCCAAGCTCAGAACTCAAATCATATTTTTCTGATCAAGATCTACAGATTAAAAGTGAAAAGTTTGCACAATCATATGCATTGCGAATAGCCTTGCAGTAAGTTCTTAATATTAGTAAGTATTTTAGGAATTTGAAAAGGATACATTTCTGTAGCAGCTTTCTCAAACCGTTATCTTTTGACATATGAAGATAGAAAGGAACTGAATGACGTGGTTTTCTGCAGGTGGAAAAGACCACTAACAGAGCGGAAATTTCATCCAGTGTATTACTGAAAACCAATGATATAAAAAATAGAAAATATCAATGTACGTTCGAGAAAAAAAAATACTGTAAACAAAAGATAGGTAATCGGGGGCTTTCATTTACACCAAATAGATATTCATTCTTGTGCTAGAAAGTATATGTTGAAAATACATTGTTTGATCTGCAATCACTTTTAATAACGAAATTTTTACATTTGATTTAGCACCGTTGCTTTTCAAGTGTTCATTTATTAAAAGATCATGTGTCAACAATAGTAGTGCTAGCATCTTTTTAATTCATCAATTGTTTTTATACCAACAATCAATTTCTACTCAGTATTTTGACAATACACATTGTATTTCTTTGATCGTTTCATTACTTGAATTTCAACGTGAAATTTTTTCTCATTGAAATTTAAAATAGAAAAAATATTTTAAAAACATGTCGAATTTTTTATAATATTCCGAATTCAAGATGAAAATGAAAAGAATATAAATAATGAATTCATCGGATGATTACTAGCTCATTTATCCTCAACATTTCCATTTATTAAAGAGATGAAAGACGATCATAATATCAAAGTATGATATCTTATTGATCAAAATTATCAAAAAAATGCAAACAACTATATGCTTTAATTGAAAATGATAATTATCTTTGGATGATATTGATTAAAAATCATTTTAAATTTAAATTATATCAACAATATGTTCATGAAATATTTTATAACAAGAAACATTCAGATTATGCTTTATATCGTACGGATAAAGATAAAGAAAACTCGGAAAAATCCTTTCGAGAAAATCAAGGAGTTCATATGTGTATTACTTGGTGTATTAAATATGTTAAACGGTAAAAACAATAGTGATGGTTATTTAGCTTATAAAAGTATACGTGAACAAAAATTACGTCCTCGTACAAATGAATTTAAAATGTTTGGTACAATCGAAGAATTCTTTGAATATTATTTTAAAACAAATAAATATTTGAATAAAGAAAATATTTTACAAATATCATTCTATAAATTAATTTATCGTTATTTAATTGAATCTAACCGTTTATTAGCTGTTGATTTGTTTGAAATAGGCTTACGTTGTACACAAGATCATTTAAATTTCAGGAACAAATTATATCCTAAACGCAAATATGATATAAAAAGTTTAGCGGGTCGATGTGTTCGATTATATACTGTTCTATCTCTTTTTCTAACTGGCATAAAAGGTCAATTTAAATCAATATTACCTTGAATCTATGAAATCATATGCCGTATTAAACTGGATAAGAATGAGGAATATCTATAACATACTATAATGAAAGTTGTAGCCAAGATCGTTATATAGAAAAAGTGCACAATGTTATTTTTATGCATTAGCTGATTATGGCCTTGATTGTGAATGTGATGAAGAAAAAATGAATTTTGAATAGTTTGAATCAAACTATTTATTACATAGTAATCAAAATTGGTTTAATCAAACAATGGGTGAAATAAAAGTATTCCAATTATCGGATATTTATTTTGAATTTCAAGTTTTCAAGCGTATAGAAAATCGTATTTTGTGCCGTGTAAATTCAAATACTGTTGAGTAAAAACGAAAAGAATGAGCCTGTAATGTCAATTATTTAAGAAAACGCTGCTAGAATGCGTGGGTATTCAAATTCTTCTAACACTCAAACCCTCCAATGCCAATGCCCGAACATTGTGATTATGGCTTTCCTCCATTCTGCCTTGCCCTGACAGAGAGGATCCATTGCTGATATTTATTTGTCAAAGTAAAGCAGCTTAAATAAACTGAGTGCTCAGTCGTTTCTCATACTAGTAAAATTCGGTGACCAATTAAAGTGATTATACAGTTAACAGTTATTAATTCATCAGTTGAAAATCTTGAGGATGTGGGTTCGGGTGTCGACTTCTAAACGTAGTCAAACCCACGTCCACATCCAAAATTTTCTTGATGATAATTGTAACATTGGCTACGATGCGTTGGCTTTTTATACGATACCTAAACATTGCTGTTTATTAAACCATTTCTTTATCGTGCGAAAACAAGTATCTTTCGTTTTCTTTTATTGTAAATATTTCTTTAGTTATATTCAGCTCATTATGTTTTTTCTTATCAAAAATTTATTACTTAGGCTACTGTGTATAACGACAATAATATGTAACCGTCGTCAGACAAATTACGTATGAAAATATTTCTTTTTCTAATAAACATATGTTTTTTTAGTTTAATAAAAATGTATGAATAATAAGTGGCAATTTTAAGTATCTAATATTCGATCGTAAGTAGCCACTATCATTTATTATGTATTATAAATATATAATATCGACATATTGAATTGCACTGGTCTCTTAAATTTGATATTTCAATCTGGGAACAACATGAAGTATTTAGTCAATTTATTTTGCATCAGTTTACTTTCATTGGCAATTTTTGCTGATGATTCTCAAATAAACTCAATTTTACCTGTATTAAATGATGATAATGGCAATGCAATATCGACTGACAATGTTATAGGTAGCAGCCAAATATTTAGTTATCACGAAAACTACGAAAGCAGTAATGCAGAAGGAGATGCTGAGGATGACGAAAATGATTTCTTCGATGACAATGATGATGATGATGAAGAGGACGAGAGCGACCTATACAAGAACGATGATGTTGATTCTAACGAATAAAAAGAATATCATGACTTTCGTAACCACATATTTATCACTTATTTTAAAAGGAACTTATTAACGTCGACGACTTATGGAATGAAGGCAAACAATATTTTATCCATTTCGTACATCAAGATATATATGTATAGAAAAGGCTTTTCCTGTTTTATTTTCAAGTTAAGGTTGATTGACTACTATTTTTTTCAATTCATAAATAAAAATCGGTTCGTTTTCAAGTGAATATTCGTTCATACAATTAATCAGTTATTTGCAATTATTAAGAGAATAATTGACTTTTTAATAAAAACAGTTATAATTTACAACAAAATTTTTTTGTTCAAATCGTTGCAGGAGATGAATAAACTTTTTGAGACAGGAATTCAGCTAATATTTTGATTTATATTTTTACTTAACGCTTCATATTGCTAAGTATCAGATTGATCCTTCTCAGTAGTGCTGTTAATCATATCCGAGGCTTCTGAAAAAATATAGAATAGATAATTAACATACAGTCAAAGAATTTAGTCACTTACGAGAATCAATAGTAGCCGGATCAAATTGATCTTTGTTATAACGATAGCCACTGTCATCATTTTCATACGGCATGATTAGTTTTTCTAAATAAAATAAAATGAATTTATTTACAATTTTCTCGTCGTTTCAACACTCATCTTATCTGCAACATCTATTTCTACAAATAAGAATATAATTTTAAACTTTGAAGAGAAATTTCTGTACAAAATTATTTTTTATTTCTTTCTAGCTTAATCTATTAACTTCGTTTTCATATATATTGGACATAGTATTGCTGAATCTAATTTTCTGAGAATATTTCAAAAATAGTTCTCAATAATTATTCAATTTCTAAACAATAGAACATATTTAATTATAATTTTACGTTCCTATTAGACTCATTTTTTCTTTGTAGCTTGAACTCTGTACTCTAGAATTCAACGTAAAATTCATTTTTTCCTATTTCTATTGATATATAAAATTCGAGAATGTGAATGTTTTAGAAGATCTTTTTTTAAATAAAATTATTACTCGATTAGATACAAATTCAGAGACGTATCAACTTTACTGAGGAATAGAAAACGAAAACGAAAAAATATGGTTATGATAGTGCTCGTATGAATAAGCCGATGGGCACATGTGATTCGACTATATTTCAACGCACGACTAGCTCAGTGTAAACAAATTCAAATTTTTTATCGTTTAGATTGAATAAATTTGTATCTAATCGAATTTTGAATCTTATGCAGAGTTCTTGCTCATCATTAACTTTGACGGCATTTACAAAATTTATACAAAGAAAATATTCATCAATGGCTTACCGATATAGTTTGATTGCGAGTAATTAATAAGTGAATGAATGGATTATACCATATAGGATTTTTCACAGTGTATATATATATGTCAATGAGAGTCATGGGGAATAACCAAGTTATCATTTAAACGACTTGGAAATAGCCAAATATTTTATGTGACTTTTTGAATATTTTTCTAAGTAAAAGCATAATGTTGGACAAAACCAAACGCAGTTTTTTTTTCTTCTTGATACTTTTGTCTGTTCTTTCACCTTAGCTGATTGTAACGATCGAGTTACGTATGAAAAAAAGGTGTAGGATGCAACATGATGTAAATTGCTTTGTTAAATATTCGTGACTTCTAACATATAAATAAAGTATTTCCGTTATGATTTTTATATTTGATTTTAAAATCATGTTTTTCAATTGAAAAAAAGGAACCAGAAAGTATTAGACGTAAAAGAAAAAGTAAAATTTATTTTTGCGTGTACATAAACAAAGCCCAGAAAAACATTCGATGACTGTTAAGACAACGTAACTAGTGGATTTTATTTTTTATTTTAGTTATTGTACAGTTCAAAGACTTGCTTAGTTACAATGATTCTAAGTCTCTTGTGTACGAATAAAAGAACACTAGATCATGTACACAGCTTTTATTGTTTTATTCTTCGAGATAATAGCACAAAATACTCTTTTTTTATCCTTTCTCACTGGTTCAAACACTTTTTCTGCGCATTATTGTGCAACTGTTCTCTCACTTGAGATATTCTTTATCGTATATGAATCACTGCGAAAACAAAAATGTTCTCCCATGAGAACACTCATTCTTTTTATTGTAACCTTTTCTTGGTAAAAGTTTCAAAAATATGCTTTTCTTTTCAAAACAACAAGAAAAAATCTTTTGAGATGTTGTTTTGCCAATATTGGTGTTTAACAGATTGGTGATAAGGGTGCGGCAGATTTAATAAATTTCGGCCGTAGTTGGACGTGAGTCTATTGCGCTCAAACGCACACTATTGACTCAATCTGTAGAGAGTCAGACAATAATAGGTTACTGATGTTAATGAAGATAAGATACAATTTGATCTTCATTAATCAATGTCAATTAAAAAGCTGATTATTATCAATAAATATTTTAATTGAAAACTACAATTATTTTGCATCAACCGTACTTGACATTCTTGCTGACAGTTGAATTCGGTGAAAGTGCTCTTTCAATAAGAAGCTCGAAGCAACTAAATCGCTGGATATATGTTTTTGTGTAGCAACAATATTTTCGATGAAACTTTCTAAACGTCTTTCGGCAGTAGCAGATCTTTGGGTTATCTGTTATATTCTAAAACATAAATTTTTCTAGTAAATCATTTATGGTGCCATATTGGTTTTCATGGTTATCATGAAAGAAGCCTTTTGAGACAGCTAAAACGATTAAAGGCTTTGAGAACAAGCTTTTAGGGCTTTACAGTCCTGAAATAATATTGATCTTACTCTTTCAAGATATTCAACTCAAATATTTATAAAAACTAGATCTATTTTGACGTGAATACACAGCTTGAAATTTATATTTTTTGCAATTTATTGAAACACGAAGTTTTGTATTAGGTGTACTGCATTATTTTTCGAGGAATCCAAATGGAATAGTCATCCAGAACATATCAGACAATTTGTCAGTTTGACGGATTCGATGACTAACACAACCTATAGCTTTTGCAGTTGTGATAAACTAACTATTCAAGCCTGTCGGTTTCAACCACTAACAAAGGATCCTTATCGAATTGGTTTCGAAGAACTATATGAATGATGTTCCTGTAAAGTGATAAGATTCAATTATTGATGACACATTCACCAGAACTACTCTTACCATTTCAACATGTTCTCTTGTTTTGTTAATGATTTTTTCAGTGTATTTTCATCAAATCTTGTTGCTATACCATACTTAAAGATGAATCAATATAAGTGTTTTTATTTTATTTTATTGATGTATTATTATTTTTAGAATAGAAAAATAGTTTATTTTCAATCCAGGAAAGAATAACATAAATCCAAAACAAATTCTTTCCACACAGAAAATCGAAGTGATGTTTATTTACACTAACCTGGTGTGCCAAAAAACTCACATCCCCATTGGTAGATAAATTTAATAGTATGCATGAAACATAATTGGCCTTCCGTTTAATCCACGACAGTAATGGTTGATGTATACCATTTAATCAAGCGAGTTGATTTTTTCCATGAAATAGCGTGACGCTGCGCTATTTGTCAACGTTAATAAATTTCTGATGAGTTGGAATGAGATTTTTTTCGATGTAGATATGACTGATTTTTAATGTTATCTTATCACTCACAGCGTCAAGTCTATTTGCCTGAGATGCTTCAGTGAGAGTTCTACTCTTACATATTTAGCAATGTTTATATCGTTGGCTTTATTTAACTTGATGTTTGCTGTTGATCTATTTTTGCTAATGGCTTTCATCGGCATTTATTTTATTGCAGACGGAAGGCGATCAAAACTGTAAAGTACAATTCCATGTATGCCGTTTCACTATCTGTTCATAAGCATCTGCTTTTCGACTGACACCAGTTGATGATGTTTGGTTTATCGCGTGTCAGAATGAGAAGGAAGTCAGTCTCCATTGCTTGTAGTAATTGCCTCCTATTGGCAATGATAGATCTGTCATACCGACTAGAAGCGGTATCAACGATGAAAAAAAAAATTCTTTTAGCATCAACTTGTCAAATAGTTTATAATTCATGTGAGATAATATTGCAACACATTCCAATCGGTTTATATTTCATAGTATTTAGACAGTATGTAGGAGTTGGATATTAATCTTTCCATTTTTAATAGCTTCTATTTTAATTGATTCGGTAGGATTTACTTCAACTAGATTCAACCGTTTCAAAAGCTCTATCACGAACCATAGGACAGACATTTTCATGTTTATTCCCCAGTGCTTTATTTCAGTGATGACCGTCTAGACTACCGTAATGTGTATGTGTGTGATTCCTCTTCGAGTTATGATTGTAGCGTGTGGTTTAGCCCACAAATACAGAAAAGCAATAACTCGATTGTGGATAAATGAAATCACAAAAGACTGACACACTATAAGATCGATGTTGTTAAAAGTCCTATGTTGATTTTGACAAGACTTTTCTTAGATATTTTTCTTTCAAAGCATAAAAAACCTAGTAAAATTTTGACTTAATTAATATCGCTCTTGTGTTGTATGAAATTTAATTAATTAATCATAGACCATCGAGCTGCAAACATCGTTTCTTAAATTGACATGGCCTTCACTTGTCATCACACAGTAGTACGATGAGAGTAATATAATGATTTACTTTTCCTTGTTGACAAGCACTACTATGATTAAGTTTGTCATTAAACCGACACGCGTCGAATTTTTATAAAAAACATTCAAATGTTTAAAATGAAAGTGAACATATATAATCCAAATGTAGATGACAGTAAGTTCACGATCTCTATAGCAGTCAGTCTTCTCGTCATTTTATTGGTCAATCATTTTTTATCCCAGAATAAAATTGACTACTCTCTTTCGAATGAAACCTTGTTTACCGAATTAATCAATATTTTTCAAAAAATATTAATATCATATTTTATTTTTGGACTTTTATTTTACAACAAATATAGTATTTTTTTGATACATAGAATAAATGCGATTGTGTTTTTCTATTTTGTTGTGTTACCGCTTTAATTTATCGATCAAAATTCATTTATTTTCATTATTGCTGTCACTGGAACTAATAGAATATTGAGAAATCTTCGAATAAAAAAAAATAATTGAGATTTATTTAAAATTTCAGATTTGCTTACGTTGTTGTAGATTTCAAACAAGATTTGAACGGCTTCTAAATAAATGTAAATAGAGAATTAAACACATAGATTTGACTCATCTACACACTGTTATCATCTTTAGCAGCATCAAATTGTTCTTGATTCAGACGATAACCTGCATCATGCTTGTCAGAATCCATGATTAATTCTTCTAAATTGAATGAAATATGCCTATTGGCAATATGTTCTTGAGCTCATCATTCATTTTCTTTCTCTCTCTCTCTCTCTATGTATGAGAAGCTAATTTCAATTCAAAGACATACAAATTTGTAGAACTAAATTTTTTCGGCAAACTGGATTCTCTCCACAATTTCTGTTTCAGTCCACGTCGCTATAATTTTAAGTAAAGATGCGAATCATTTTGTTATCTGCCATTCATTTCCAATATAAATCTCTATGATTCAAACTAAATTTCGTCGTGTACCTTTGTAATTTTGAAAAAATCTTATATTCTGATGTTCTTCGCGTAAATCGAAATTTTGTCATATGTAGGTTTGTTTTCGAACTTTTTCTATTAGAGAAATAAATATCTTAACTTAAAGCTAGACGATAAGATCTTGAGACAAAATGACTATTTCGCTAAAGATAAACTCAAAAAGAATGCGCATTCTACTGAACGTACAGTATAATGAAAAGAGAAAGCTCTATAATATCAGCATTCGTATCAATAAAGAGTATAAATATGTACCTATGCAATTATAATAGTAATAATCAGATTAAAATAATCCTGAATTGAATTGAATTAGCCGTCACACATGTAATCGTACAAGCGAGAGTGTCACAGAGCAACAATTGTTTTAATGAAAAGCTTTTTTTGTTCTACCAAACGTCAACAAAAAAAAGTGAAGTGGATGTATAAAAATTGTGAAGAAACTTTTAAGATTTTTATTTCCTAGATCATTTACTCAAAGCAAAACTTGCTGTATACGGGAGAAAAATTAATCTACTCAGATTTAAATTGTTTACATTGCACAAATTAAATTTCAACGGATATCTTAGCATTTTTATTTGTTTTATCTTAACATCAACTGTCACAATTAAATATTTTCATAAAGAGGACGATTCGTTATTAAATGATTTACCTTGATTGTGTGATGCTGATTCCATATCACCTGAGTAATGAGATTTTATCAAACTAGTATTTTTCATAGTATATTTATAAGCATGATTTAATATATTCAAAGTTATATGATTCAATACGACAATAAGAAGTTTATCATTTGACATTTCGAATAAAAAATAGAATACAGCCTAATTTTTTGTTGGATATTTCCAACGATTGCAGACGGCAAGTTGGATGAAACCAAGTATATAATTTTCTGTTTGTACGATTGATAAATGTTGTTACGCTGCTTACTTTCCAACATTGATAGGATTAGCTAAGTAGGCGTAGTTGAACTACATGGCAAGTCCAAATATTATTTTAGGAATTATAGATTTCCAACATAGATAAAAATCTATTCTCATCATTTCAACATTATACTTGATTTACGTTGATAGTCTTTAACTGGAAAAAGTAGGGAAGCTAAAAACATCGTATTTGAAGAAAAACAATAACAAGTTATTATGTACAAACATTAATCGTGTTGAAGGACATAACAGCTATCAATATTATTTAGCTAGTAGACTCGTTTTATTTTATTTTTAGTACGTCTTAAAAACATGATCAGCAAGAAACATGTGATTTTCGTGAGATAATTATTCATAGCGTTCAGTATACAGATAAAAACAACTTCAACCGATGCCATCGGTCTCCTTTATTTTCATTAACAATATAATGACAGCAGTATATTGTTCTTAATCTTGTGACAATCGTCGAACCACCTTGTTTTCAAACTATTGTTTGTTTGTGTTGTGCTTGAAATTTTCTTTTTGATCGAGAACTCAATAGAAAAGAAGTATGCTCCACTTCAGAAATTGTTACTTTAGCCTTTCTTTATGTACGGATGACAAAGAAATGATTATTTTAATTCTAACTGAAAATTTTCGCCGAAAAAGCAGTAAAGGACTAGCTTTTCAAATTTTATTTAGAGATTCGTATTGTTTATCATAATAATAGAAAAAGTACTATAAAAAAAACAGAGTGTCTCATATGGCCTTATTCAAAAATCACAAAACTTATAAACAGTGTTTCCGCGCTGTAGATTTGTGTGAACTCTTCTTCGTCATATAAGACTCCCTATATTTGACATGAAATGCTGCGTGTTTTATGTAGATAGAGAATGTAATTTAGAACAGTGCTCTCAGTTTAGTTTCATTCAATACATTTAAGTTCAACACGATGAATAGTCAGTCTCTTGCTGAGACTATGTTAAGCTTTTAAATTCTGGTATTTAGAAAAACAGTCACATATAGCTTAAATGATGATTAAATCTATGTTGATTTCAAATATACTTTGTATAGAAAACAAATCCTTTTGACGTCATCGTGTGAAAGCAACTTTTTAAATCTCCCCCAATGTATGAACGAGACCAGACAAGCACGTCTATCTATAAGATTTATGAACTTGTTATGAATATATTGAGCAATAAAATTCAATAAGAAAAAACATCGGAAAACTCTCTTCGCGCCTTTCTATTGAGAATTAACTGTTAAATGTCAAAAAAAGAAAAACATCGTTTATTCTGTTCTTGTTCAATCGAAAGGGTTAAAAAAAAAAAATTTTTATGAGACAAAAAACATCATTTTCGTAGTCATCGATGCACCATGAAAAAACTTTTGAACTCAAACGAACTCAGACCGATTGGCGACCGCTAAAGATTTCCATATTGACAAAAAATAAAAACCTACACGTTATGATTGTGAGTCCAATAAAAAAAAAATGAATGATGTGATCTGAAAATTTTTACTTATACATTGGCCATTATAGTTGTTAGCCGTAATTCATATTACGCTAGCTTATGCAAGCTTTTGAAATGCATAGAAACTAGACTGTTGTTCTACATTACTACATGTACAGATGCTGGCCTATAGCATCACTTGATTTCATTTTCTTGCTTGCTCAGACACAACAATCAATATATCGATAGTGAATTTCAGTTCAGAATTAATACAAATTGTTTGTAACTATTTCACGCATACTCATGGTGTCTTTCTTTGAGTTCATGTGCTTATAGTAAATTGGTTGAAGTTAATTTGTGGTTTTGTTTTATTTGTAAAGTGATAACGTTTTTTTGAAATGATGCAGATATTATTACATGTTAGTTAATGAATTACTTATGTAACGTTTTTAGTTAGTTTTCATATCGACGGTATGAAAAGCTATTTAATAGAAGCAGGAGTTTTTAGTCATTAAGGAATCTTATTTTTGATGAAATGATAGCATTTCTTTTTAGGTGCAAGCGAAAGTTTATCGTTTTTTAATTTCTTCACCTCCTCCTTCTCACCGCTCATTGAATTGTGTACATTGAATAGATCATGATTCTTTTCTAGAAGACCTTTGATTTTACCGATGTTTTTTGCATTATTCAGTATTTTGAGCATGCTTTTATCAAATTAGAGATAGAAGGTCGTAGGCTTTGAGCAAATTTTAACTTTTATTTGTTCTTTTATTTATTTCTCCGCATTTTATCTTCTACAACTTGAATATTATTTGTGATATACAATGTTTCTGGACGATTTACTAGCAATGCCATGTCATAGATTATCAGTGACTTCTTATATAATTTCAATACTTCTTCTAATTCACCTTTATCTTGACATACAAGACCTATGTTCTTGTAGGTATCTTCAGTAGAAGGATGTTCAGCAGGAAGTGTTTTCAATTTGATTTTAACTGATTGATCATAATAGCTCAATGCAAGATCATAAAGATCGATATAGTAATGACCACCACAAATATTGTTATATGATGCACTTAAATCAGAATGATCAGCTGGTACATGGATCTTTTTAATAGCAAGTGACTTCTCATTTTCATTTTCAATGATTTTGCGTGCCATGAGAGACGTTCATCATATTCGCCTTTCTCTTGGCCCACTCAACCAACACAATGGTACAAGTCATTAACCAAATGGTCATTCGATGGAAGTTACCTCATATTACACCTACACTATCACTTAAACTACTTGATATAAGATTCAGTTTTACAAATACTTCAGTTATTTTATAATTCGATGATGTCGATAAAAACGAATTTAACGATATTATATTGCCAACTGATTTTTGCAATTTCTTCATTTCCTCTCCCGACATCATTTGACTACGATAAACAGCGACGCACTTCCTATATTGATTCGCCCGCAACGCCTTATTCAATAAATGATACACGAACGATTCACGCATATAGCACAACTTGATGCATATTCATTCTGAAATTCTTTTATCAATTCTAATTCAGCTACATTACCTTAGTATTCATTTTTTAATAATTCAATTAATTCATTCTTATCTTGTTCATTGGGCTTCATTCTAATTAAAACGTCTATCAAAAACTGAGAATCCAGGAAATCTCCATTAAGTTCCATTGAACTCCGATCCAAAATGTGCATGGTTAGCGGTTCTGCATTTCAGGAACTACAATGCAACCCAATTGACCACTTACAATTAAAAATGTAAGATCACCTTGTCGAATCAAATGAACACTTTGCATGAATTCTTCTGGATTGGCAGAATTTCGTACTCGATTGATAATGCTTCGTAATTCTGTTTGAGCAGCCATGTTTTCTTCATTATTTACTGAAGTGTCTAACCAAAATATGCTATATGTTTTCACTTTCATTCCATTTATGTTCAGCAATTTTTCTTTTGGTTTTCACTGTTTGCCGAAAACTATGAAAAAGAAAGCATCATATTTTCCTTCAGATCTGTCTTTCACGAAAGCCAAGTGAACACTATTTCATTGAAACAGTAGTCTTTTTAAATCTTTTTATCGCCTTGTAAATTCTAATACCATCACCTGTAGTTTTCACTCAAAGGAAGCAACAATACGTCCAACACATACTTGGTTTTTTTCAACTTTATCAAACAATAACTGCAAGTTTTACACTGTGAAACGGAAGTTTTCTTGAATTGAAATTTGGCTAATATTTCGAACTAAATTTATTATGAATTAATTAATTAATACTTAACATTATCATTCGATCTCCATCAGTATAGCAGCACAAGAGCATAGCAGTAATATTCAGTGTTCGAACTTTCTTTTCGTAATCAAACGTATCCCACTCAGCTTATGTGTTTTTGACTGAAGATAGTGTTTATACAATGTAAATAATAAATTTAAAAAGTCAGACAAAACTTGATAGATCTATTGTTGAAAATCGATTATTAAATATCACTATTGTTATCTGATTAAAACGTGATTTTTATTCTTATATTCTTTATTTCTGCTTATTTGAAGAAATTATCTGATTACTTCCTGCAATTCAATGAATGCTACTCTGAATTTTTCAACTTGTTTTTTTTACATCGAATACTCACACCCTCAAGATCTAATATTTCATTTGATTCGATAAACTATTGAAAACGAGATTCTAATTTCTATTGAATTTATTTACTGATTGTTGTAGTTAAGTGCGTGTTAAACGTGAATTCAATCTTTATTTCCTTAATGAAATAACCAAAGAATCGAGAATAGAGTAACAACTACAGCCAACATCTAATAGAAGAAGAAAACAAAACAAATATATATATATATATATATATAGCGATCACAATATAACTTATACACAAGATGCAATAGAAAAATGATTACGTAATCGGAATATTATTACGTAACAAGAACAGGAAGAACAATATCAACTTTTAATTCACCTCGAGAAAATAGAAATAAATGTGTCTACTATAATTGACTGAAAGGAAACGAAAGAAACGTACACATAGAGTTCAAACCGAAGAAAAAATTCTTAACAATCATTGCTTAATGAATCTTTTAACGTAAAACGTTCATCAGGCTTCTGGATTGTTGATTGTATTGCTGAATCAAGTGCTTCTTTTAATTTTATCACTTCCATTAGAATATCTCGATTTTGTGGATCGATCGAAAGAGCTTTTGATATATATTTTTCTGCTGCATCAAGTTGATTTAATGATCGAAGTGAAACACTTGCACGAAATAAAGCTTTTAAATTATTTGGTTCAATAATAAGTGTATCACGACATGCTCGAAAACATTTTTCGTAATTATCTAAACGAAGATAGCATTGTGCTAGAAAGAAAAAAAAGAATTTTGTTTGAATATAATTCAATTTTTTTAGCCAAACTCTACCAGAATTAAGATGAAGTTTAAGTAATAATTGATGATATTGTTCTTCTTGTTTTCCATCAATAAGTGTAACTTTATTGTGAATTAATTGTCGTGCTTTATTATAGCTTCGTAATGCACGATCTAATTGACCATTTGCATATTCTTCATTACCTGTATTACGTAGTGTTTGAGCTAGTCTTACACGTTTAGCAAAATCATCTATTTGTTGTTTATTCGTTGTTGTTTTTATTAATAACTGTTCATCATGAACGACTGCTGACGATTCATTTGTCGTTAAAAGCTCAATAACATAAAGACACCATGCTGATTCAGGTATATGTGGAGCACAACCCAGTTCACCGTATAATAAATCACTGCTGATTATAAATTTTGCACGTTCACGTCTTTGCATTGTACTAACAGCTAGATCGATACCAGGAAGTACTTCGAATTTACCTAAACGAAATTCAAGTGGACGTCGACGCTTAAATGATGTATCAAATGGTTCATCACGATGTTCAAAATAAGCATAGTAATGTAAACGTCTGTAAAAAAAAAAGATTTTTGTTTAGATCATTGTAAATAACAGATATTCTGTTCTTTTGTGCGATGAGACTTTTCTAGAGGTATGATACACAAAGTTGTCTGACTAATAGTAGTTTAGATACAATTTTTCTGGACTAATGATTCGTTTTTTATCTCTGAAATGAAAACTCTCTAGCATATCATTTTGTCAATTGCATTAGAAAGATTGTACATATATCAAATAACTTACACAGAAGCAGATACGGTTGGCTTTTGTCCAATTCCATTATGAATAATTTCTTTCCAAATACCACCTTGATTTAAATCTGTTTCAGTCATATTATCATTAATTACATAGCGTCCATCATAACCGTTAGTGACTACAATGTGATTCATTGTTGGTATTTGTTCACTAAACGGTAATGTACCATCGATACGTCTTTGTCGATGAAATGGTTCAACATGAAGTGAACGATTATATCTTAAACTAGGATCGTCTTCTTCTTCGACATTATCATTCATAGAATGTTTTTCTTCAACATTTAAATTATTCAATGATAAAGATTGCATTTGAGAAAATCTGTAATATGTTTATCGATCAAATAAATACTTTCAATAAAGAAAATCTCGTTTATTACTAAGATATTTTATTTATTCTAAAACAAAGACAATTATTGTCTTTTATTTCGGAAAAATAACATAAAAGTAATTGTATATATTGATATTAAATTTAAATACATTTGATTTTAGAATTATTTAAAAGAACAGAAAAAAAATTGGAATGTAAATACAAAACAGATGCATTGCAAATTAGATATAGAAACCAAAAACAAAGCAGTAAAAGAAAAAAGCTATCATTTCTGAGTAATACAAATAACATAGTTTTATCAGACGAAACGTATTATTAACCATTTGAACGTGGCCATGAATCGAATGCAAAGAGAAGACCAAGTAGAATACCAACACCAAGAATAACACTAATAATACATAGAATCAAAGCACGGCTATTGAGTTTACGAGATTCATCAGTAAAACCATCTCTAAATTTGACTTGTGCTTTAAAAGCAAGACCATATGCAATAGGACCTTAAGCAAGAGAGAGGTAGAGAAATTAAAAGTCTACTTTTCAAATATTCAGTTTTTTTACCTATCAGTGGACAAAGAAAAATACAAAGAACTGCAAACCAACGCCAATCATCAGGATGTTTTGGTGTATGAGGATCGAATTTTTTACGACGTTCAACTACCGTTGATGTCTTTGACATATTTGAAATAGCTGAAGAATGCGTACGAATAGAAAATGTACTTGAATAAAGTGGATTCGTTGGTCGTACTTGTGGATATTCTAAATAGAGAAAAAGAAATGATTTAATATAAAAAATCATTTTTAGTTATGTTACCGCTGTAAGTTAATTTTGATGTACGTGAACTGGTAGATTTTGAACCAACAGATTTTGTATCAATATCACTAAGCGTATTTGTGTGATAAGGTCGCATACTATGTGATATTGGTGAATTAAGATAGTTAAGTTTAATTGTATTATCTGACAAATTGCTCGTCATCGACGACATTTTTTTTGTAAAATTGACATATTCGTTATTTTGTTCAACCTACCTCATGCATTCCTATTGACCAATCATTCTGCTTCTTGTAGTTGAATTTCGTTCAACGAATGCACAAGTGTGCTATGTTTTCGTTCTGTTCTATTGGTACATGAATGATGATCATCGCTGAGTTTTCTTTTGTTATTTTGTTAAGGAAAAAACTTTTAATATTAAAAAAGTCTTTTTTTATCGTTGAATTTCATATGGTATAAGAAAAACTTTACTCTAAAATGCATTATAATATCTAGTGTTAAATAAATACCACCATTGAAGTGTTTTTTCGCTTATCTCATGGAGATTTTTGCATATTTTGAGACTGTCGGGGAAATATTAAATTAAAATTTTCAACTCGATAGAGTTGATCGTCCAGAATATATTCATGACAGGAGAATAAAAACAAAGAATAATTAGTTTATTCAGTCATAAAACTTTGTTTGTTTCAGAGCTTTTCTGATTAAAATGCTTGGAATGACTCAGAACATTTAAAAACTTTGAGGGTATATGAATTTAACTTCAAAACAGCTGATTAATCTACAAGTATTTTGTTAGTTTTTCCTAATTTCTATTGGACATGTCCTGTTCAGTGTCTTACTTTCTATTCTGCTTTTGTTCATTGCTTGTAATTCAATAGATTTGTAATAAGCTATGGAATTTTGATTTTATAAACGTTCTTATTTTTTCCACTTATAAAATATATAACTAAATTACTGTTTTCATACGAGAGGTTTTTTTTTCTATCAATTCAATACTGAATAAATTTTTGTAATCTTGAGAAAAAAGTCACATTGATTGTGAAAGAAATGCGATCCAAAGTTATCATCTTATAGATCTATCTTAATTTTAACTATTGGAACAAAAATCGACTATGTTTTAGGGAGAAGTGTTCTTAAATTCGTATGAGCTTGCTGGTTGACTAAAGGAATCGATCAATTTGAAGTATGTTATTTTTAAAAGTGTTAAAATGTACATCGTACCGTTATCGATACTGAATTAAGAGGAGTGGAATGCTATTTATTTAAATGGCCACCAAATAACAGATGAATTTTGATAAATGAAAATCCTGACATGCGATGAGATTTGTTTCAAGTGGATAAATATATGAGTGCATCCTATACAATGGTCCCAATTTAAAATCGCCATCATAATTAAAATGCAGTTCGTATATGCTTTAGGTAATGTAAAGCAACACAAAAGAAAATTTTTATTAAATACAGTAATTAAAAGAGTTGAGTTTTTCAATTTACAAATAATTTTATTCGCTTAATTCATTGCACCAATTTAAAAGAAACATATGCAGGTAAATCGTTCGCAAAAACAAAATTCTGCTTTAATGCAAAGTAAATCAGGAGTCTTGTCGATCGTATACTTGAAATTGATATTTCCATCCGTTTTCTTCAATGATTTGATCATCGAGTTCAGCAAGAACCTCGCCGGGTGGTCGTTTTACGCGTTGAAAATCGCTTAAATCAAATTTCGATACTCGAGCATCACAATTAGGGACTTCTGCGAAAATTCTTGTTAAATAAACTCGTTTCACAAGCTTTAATTCTAGTGCTTGCTCATAGGGATTGACACCACCAAACAGAAAGACTGATTCAATCATAGCACTCGGAGTGTCAAGTAAGAATTTCGCTCTATGGGTAGCTTGCTCGAAAGAATTCACGATATCAACGTTATTTCTATCCAAATCTTCAAATTTTCTATGCAGTTCTTCCTGTGTTTGTTTGCTAATAACAATAAAATGCCATTTTGAAAGATATTCTTCACCCAATTTAATTATCGGTTCAAATGTGACACGTCCAGTAATAACCGCAACACGTTTTAATGGATCTTTTAAAGTTGTTGAGTGTGTTAAGTACCAATTGTGATCAGTAGGTAAAGATCCCCATGGAGTGTTGTTTTCATATCCGATGGCATTTTTTTCATCCATTGCGATAACAATATTCATGAACGGTTTCATGTCCATCTAGAAAAATCAAACACAAGTGGAATTGATATATGAACCGAGTTCATTAGTCATCTGGAGTTTTATATTCAATTAATGTTTGTAAAAGTAAATATTTAAGCAACATTCTGTTTAATATTGTTGTCTTAACTGCATCCAGACCATATATACGTACGTATATCGTATGCACAGGATCTGATTGATGAATGAATTCAAGTGATAAATTATATTACTTACGGTAATAACTTTGATTATTCGTTTAAATAATAATATAATTGTGATTTCGTAGGTGAAAAATAAATTTCGAGGTTCCGAGTTCTTGAAGAAACGTATGTGGACACATGCTAAGTAAATGTAAGTACTCTCTTGTTCTAAATAAATCAGATAGTGTAAAAATTACAGAACAGCGACTGATTTAGTAAATAAAGACGCTAATAAGCGTATGAGAAAAAAAAATAATATTAATGATCGACGGGTATTGCTTCTATAGTAATATTTCATCATATTCCTAATATGATGGTGTCATTGGTCAATTTTCTATTATCAGTATCGCTCGATATTTTGATAGGAAAGTCTACAATTATGATTTGATTCTAAATGTGATCTATAAAAAGAAATATTAGAAAAAAATTTGTCAAGAAAAACGCATATAAAAACACAGGTATAATATTGAGTTTCTCCGCCTATCATCTCCGTCACCTATCCTTTTTTTGCTAAGCAGAATATAATGAATATAGAAACTTATTCTACGACTAAGTTTTATCTAGTCTATGATAACAAAACAAAACCGACCGATACGAACACGAAATAATAAGAAAAACAAATTCAAGATGAGCGAGGTAATAAGATATTTAAAAAATTGTCAATGGGCAGCCTTCTAATAGTCCTTGTGCTTTCAAAAGCCAAACATTGTTGGATTCATTGCACATAAATAGTGACTTCCCGGCAGAAGAATATTGACTGACAATTATCATAAAGTATTCTAAATTTCACATTTAGCTAATGTAAACAACAATTATATTGAAGGCACCATATGGTCTTAGTTAATCGTAGTTTAAAATTATTCATTTCTTCGTTTTTCGTTTAGATTTTACTTGCCCTTTTACTGAATAACGGAGTAGATACGAAGAGCAGCTGATTGAGAGAGATATAGAATGGTTATCTATACAGGTCTACCTGTGAAACAATGGAGTTGGCGATGAGAAAAAGAATGTGCAGCAAAGCAAAGACACATACCAATAAGTTTTCTTTCGTTTATCCAAATAGCATAGATATTACCGGGATTAAGAATCATATAGTATATAAAGCGAAAGATAAAGGTCGATGTATTGTTAATTTTTCTATAAGAAAGTAAAAAGAAGGACGAGTTTATTTATAAATAAGCTTATAATTTTAAAAATACAAGAAATGCAGCTACTATTCAAATACTATATTTATTGAATTAACTGAATTCATAAATACAGAAATATAAAATTACTGATAATTGCAGTGCTGTACAATTGGTGAGTAGCTTCAAATAAAATGAAGCTGCTGAGAGAGAAATGTAGATTTGTGAAATACATGAGACATATGAATTCAACTAACTCTCACTAGTAAAACTACACTCGGCAGCAGAATAAAAGGAAAATTATGCGTATCTGTTCTCAAGCCTTTTATTTTTCATCAATGAAGTTCAAAGGAAGCAGCATCGATTGCTGAAGCATCATTAAATGAAAATGAATATTCCACAGTAATTCAGAAGAAATTTAATAATAACTAATAATTAATGATTTTCCATAACATAATTAAGATGACCCAAGATAAACTATCAGTGATATTCGAGTGAAATTATGTTTATCAGTTATTTTGACATGTGAAGTTCGTCAATTTTCGAGAGAATTACTTGTTAGAATCTCGAAAACTGTTGCACAACCATGATCATTACGACACATTTTTCATTCCTACTTTCGGCACTTAACATCAAATGGCTAAGCTGGATTTGAATAAAAGTCAAGATAAACTTTCTTCCTGAACTAGATATTGACAGCATGAACTTGATGCTTGAGACTTGTTACTTACTTCTATGGATGGGAAGGCTCTAATTCGAACACATAGTGAACGAGAACGGCACGCCCACTATATACGAAGGAATTTTTAAATATTTACGAACAAAAAATTTAAAATACAGATTTCTTTCTCTGAATATTTGAGTTCGATTCATTTTGTGCGTCGAAAACTGTTGGCGAATACTAATGCTATTTAAATATTGTCCAAAGATGTTGCACAGAGTTCAAGTAAGGATGTATAGATTCATGAGTTGTCTCGTTTTCTAAGAATACTTCAAAGTCCGATACCAACATTGGAAATTTTCAATAAAATTTTGCCTAGTGTGCGAAGTCATCTATTAGTCAAAGCGATGACAATACACTAAAAACTATGTCATTTTTACATAAAGAAAGATTCGTAGTCAACATTCTTGAATATGAAAAAAAGAAGTTAATTATTTTAGTCGATGATCCCGTGCCCTGTTCATCAAAAAGGGAGCTTCGATTTGAACATGACAACGACCAGTTTTGCTCATCGATAAATCCCGATCATTTTCTACTCGTTTCATAAAGCCATTCATTGTTTCACCGCCAAACAATACTTCTCATTGGTACCAAGTTCGGTTGATTGTTCATGTTAACAAGGGCACCAGGAAGAAGAAACGTACGGTTATTTTGCTTTTGTTGAGGATGCGGACGTGAACTGCGATTTTCATCAAGTTTTCTGAGATGATTCAGATTCGATCTATTTAACAATAAATTACGTTTGTCAAACGGCTTGTCGCATATTACGATTTGAAGTTGGGTGCCTACTTCATGTCAGATCGTGATAAGTGACTGATGTTGTATGCGAGGATAAACAACACGGCGAATAACTGATTTGAAATGATTTTCAGTTAGAATACTCGCCACTTCACCAAGCCATATCACATCAATACATTGTTGGTAATCTTTAGAATTATCTGATCCATCAATCCACTCATCTTTCATTTGATCGTATAATTGAAGACCATCACATGTGGATGGAACAGTCAATGAAAATAGATCTGAATCGAAATGTGGAACACAATTAACTTCGTGTGCATTGGGAGTGTTCTTTCATTAAAATAATGTGAAATATTAAGCGTATCCACAGAAGAAAGTGATACTGTATTGTTTCACTCGATTCTGTGCAATATATACACATCTTCTGTCAAATTATGAAGTGGGATAATCAAATATTCTAAAGTTTTCTCCAAATCATTTGTCAAAGGAAGATGAGAGCTTTAGTGCCTTCTTTATGATCGACACTCGAATAACCAACATAGTTTGACGATTCATATTTCGACTACTCTATTTGATCGTGACCAAAAAATGTTGAGAAACTTGTTTGAACTTCATTGAGTTTATCGGCTAGCCACCTGTATAGATTGGACAATCTTAGAAAGCCCCACCCATTAGATTCAAATTTATTTTCTAGGTAACGTATTTCGTTGAAGTCAACAAGCGTATGTTTGTTAAAATGTAATTCGTTCGTCATAAATTCAAAATGTTGATATGACACATTCGTCGTTTCTTTATGAAGTAGGCGACGCATGCAATAAATAAGATTATTTACACATGTATAATTACGATGCAGAATTTGTTTTCAACAATTTATGATATCTCTCTATAGGCACGCGTCATTCGATTCGATCATGACGAGTGTGTGAAAATGCATTATTTCGAAAAATAGATTATTTTTTTATGACTAAAGAACGTGAGATGGTAATATAAAAGCACTTGAATATCTGAGATATTTGTTATATTTTTTTATGAAGTAGGAAATGAGAGAGCAAAGAAGTTCTATTAATAGGCAAACATAGCTTCATACTATTGTCTTCATAAAAATTCATCTTTTTGGCTATCATTTCCAATTATACATTTATTTATTTATTTTTATCTCTCAATCATGGAATTCGTCTTTTTTTATGCAGAGTTACATATGTTGTGTTTTATAATAGAAGCTACCTGGAAAAGTAGTAACCCTTTCCATGCGTATTACTGAGAAAATAAATGTAGTAGTGTAAAAAATTTATTCTATGTTAACTAAAAGTTAAGAGATAGGTATTAAGGCAAGGCACTGATATTGCATTTTGTACTTGATCGAATACTCGATTGTTTCTGTCGTCGATCTTTTTTCTACGGTTATTTATTTGTATTAATTTAAAAGATCAATAAGAGAATTTATATATTGATCAGTTAGTCAAATGCTAGTATGAAGATAAATTTCCAAAAAGAAAGATTGAAATGATGATACATACAAGAATTTGTTAGCAATCACCGACAAATTGAAAAATCAATTCCTGACGATATTCAAATGGGTTTTTACTATCTATTGCATTCAATGAAATTATAGAATATCAGACGATGAACTGTCTGGGAACAGTTTGTTTTATGAAAAGAAAAAACTCTTCTGATGCAATCCGTGAATTTTCTTGCAATCATCAACGAGGTGTAGGATAATGATAGAAGTTATCACAAAAAAATACTAAATCGAATTTTACAAATGAGAGGCTATATTAAATAAAATATAGAATAGAATGTGTGCAGTACAATCGTGTTAGAAAAATATCTTGAGATGTGTTCTAAAAATTTGTTTGATATATTATATCCTAAATTCAACAACTCAATATTTATAGACATGAAGAAAATGGTATCATTGTTCCTAATAGGCTATATACTCTTTGAATAAAACAATCATTTTGCATCCTTCAATCTAAAATATAATCATTACTTTTACTCATTACAATCGGCAATAATATTTTTGTTCGACATTTTCATTTCTCTAACATGTAATGACATCTATCATTTCTCTAGGCGACCAGCTCTCAATATGACGACTGGTGTGTTTTGTTCTCATATGTAATACAACAAGGTTTGTAAACAGAAACAAACAAAAAGTCAGTTGATTAGTTATTTGATTTGTTCGTTCTTTTCTGCAGTATTGTAAAAACAAAATCGATAAAAACATTTTGTTTTTCACTTAATATAAACATATTAACATTTGAAGAAAAATAAATTTTTCCCAAAATTATTTATTTATTTATCTTTAGTTGTTTCTTCGTTCTCGTTTGTCCTGTTGTCCTTTTGCGATGGTCGCTGTTATTGTTCGTCAATATTCGTTTTCGTCTAGTTTATTAATGTACTTTTATCAACAGATCATCAATAATTACTCATGAATACTTCGGAAAATTTTACAACATCTTCATCAGTTGCTGTTTCAACTATAAATATTGATACGCATGAACCCGATGCTGATGCAATTAAAATGTTTTGTGGTCAAATACCACGAACTATGCATGAGTCAGAATTGCGTGAAATGTTTGAACAGTTTGGTCCTGTCTTTCAATTAAATGTTTTACGTGACAAACAAACTGGTGAATCAAAAGGTTGTTGTTTTGTTACGTTTTTCACACGAAAAGCAGCATTGGATGCCCAAAACGCTCTACATAATTTACGTACATTAAACGGCTGTCATCATCCCATACAAATGAAACCTGCTGACGCCGAAAATCGAAATGGTTTGAGAAGAAAAATCGAAGCAAATTTTTCTATTCAATAATGTTAATTTTCTTTTTTAATTTTTAGAACGAAAATTATTTGTTGGTATGATATCGAAAAATTTCGACGAACAAAGTATTCGATCGTTTTTTCAAACATATGGTGTTATTGAAGATTGTACTGTCCTTCGAGATGCTAGTGGCAAAAGTCGAGGTTAGACATCTGTTTTTTATTTAATAATATTAAATTGATTAATCATAAAACAATCAATCATAGGATGTGCTTTTATTACATTTCAAAAGCGTCAATGTGCTGTCAATGCAATAAAATCAATGCATCAATCTCAAACAATGGAAGTAATAATAGTCGATTAATAGATAAATTTTTGAGAAACTTATTTATTTAGGGTTGTTCATCACCGCTTGTTGTGAAATTTGCCGATACACCAAAAGATAAAGAAGCAAAGAAAACTCAACCACCAATGCCGAATTACAATAATTTACTGATGCAACAGATGAATTCCGGAAATTCTATAGTAATAGATAAATACTAAATGAAATTATTTCTTTATTCTTCAAAAAATTCGTTTATTTTATAGCCCAATCCTCAGCATATGAATACATATAATTTTTTACCTGAACTTGGTAATTTAGTATTTCTTCAAGAATTATTAAAGAATTATGGTTTCATTGGTAACAATGGCAATGGTAAATAAAAAATAAACATAGTTTTGATTTAGTAATTTACTTTATTTAATCTACCTTAGTTGTTAATTTTCCAGCATTAAATAATCTTTTACAAATGTTTACAAATAATATGAATTTAAATGGTAATAAATTACCTATTCTTGTACCGCCAAATACTTCACCGAATATGTCTTCAAATTCTCAACATGGCAATAATCGATCATTAAATATTCAAGAACAACAACAACAACAACAACAGATTACACTCGATTCATCTCGACTACCTTTATCATCTAATTCAAATAATACATCTTATAGCAATGAATCTTTACTTATGTGTGGACCAAATGCGAATGGTCAACCCAATACTCATCTTAATCCAAATAGTAGTTTAACGCCTACAATAGCTACACCAAGTAGTGGTTCTTATCCTCCTACAATATCTTCACTCTATGCTAATAGTCCTAGTTCATTACCGAATGTGGCTACAGGTATATCATATTCGATAGTACATTTTAAATCGTCATTATTTTATTCTATTAAGATGCTCATCATAATTTACAAAATCTTGTTGCAATGTCTCAAATGAATAATGGAGGTAAATAGTAACTCAATTGAATATATAAAAAAAAAGCAACAATTATTATTAAAAGGTCTTTTGCCAACAGCAACTTCTCCAGTAGCAGCATCAGGTACGTTATATTATGATATGTTCTTTATCTAAGTTTAGTTAACTATAAGAGTAGTTTACTGCTATTTGAAAAGAAATTGCTTCTGTCAGATTATGATCATCACAAATACTGTATGATTTTGTTTTATAGTCTCCGAAAAAATATAAAAAGTTTCCTACTGATATGAGAGTTGTGTTCTACTTTTGTCATAAATACTTAGATAGGTTTTTAAAGTAACTTTATTGTGTTGAGAAAATATTTTCTATGAGAATATGACCACAAAATATTTCTTGACTTGTTTAATTTTTTCCTGAGTCATATTTTAATATTGCAGTAGGAAACAAAATTCCCACGTGTATATCGAATGACAAGAATAGTTGATTTAACAGCTGTTCTTAGCCTATTAAGTGTAGCGATGAGGAATTTCTATGAGATTTATATGCAGATAAGTATTCTAAAAATTGAAATATTCAATTTGTAATAATATTTTTAAAGCTGCTTTTCCTGTATTTCCATCTACATCGTATCTTTCTTCTCAAGTAGCCGGCAGACATACTGAAGGTTTGTGTAAATTAAATCTTAAATAATGCTTTGATGTATAAAATCTTTCTCTTAAATCAGGTCCTGATGGTGCGAATCTATTTATTTATCATCTTCCACAAGAATACAGTGACACAGATTTAGCTCAAGCTTTTGCACCTTATGGACCAATTTTATCGGCTAAAGTATTTGTTGATAAAACAACAAATAGAAGCAAATGTTTTGGTAATTTTTCGATAGTTTTTCTTCGTTCTAAACTGAATGATGAATTTTGTTTTCTGTTGCAAAGGTTTTGTTAGTTATGATAATCTAGCATCTGCTCAAACAGCTATCAATCAGATGAATGGCTATCAAATTGGTATGAAACGACTAAAAGTTCAATTAAAAAAACTTCGCATTGGTCCAACTAATAATTTAAACAGCCCAACAGGTAATCAGAGTCAAACAATAATAAACAATAATTCGAATAATCACAATGGAAATTCACCAACAACACCTAAGAAATGTTCTTATTAACGGACATCACTTTTTTACAAAGAATAAAATCGATAGAACATTTTTGTATATTCACAGCTTGTTTGTATCGTTTGTAAACGACCTATTTTTTCTCTGTCCTATATTTATAATACATCAATTTTGTTGTCCTATTGTCCTGTATTATATCTATTGTCATAGAAGTGTTTAACAAAATATATATACTAACGCTCCTTTTGCATGATTGTAGAAGTCTATTATTTGGTTGTTTTTTTTTGTCTTTTTGTTCTATTTTTGCAGTTTTATCTCATCGATTTCTAATCGTTACTATTAGCCTTGAATATTTGCCCATTTTGTTTTCAGCATGTAGCCCATTTGTTTTTTTTTAAACGAAACTACGTCGAATTGTTTGTTCTTTATGCTGTGTTGATTCTTACTTGTACGTTTGTTCGTTGATTGTTTATCGTTGTTGTTTTTTCGTATTGGATCAACACGAGTATTATAACAAATAAGCAAATTAAAAGAAAAAGAGAAACACAACCAACCAGAATTTCATATAACTTTTTTCTTTGATTCAAAATATGTAAACAGTAATAGTGTTGTGAATTGACGAATAATTAACAATTGATTAGTATTCATTACATGAGAGATAAATCGATCATATTGTTTACGCATCATGGAAACAAGTAAAAATAGATGCAGTAACAAAATCAATCTAGACGACTTGATGATCGTCTGCATATCTTTCTGTAGAATACATCAAATTATTCGTTACATACTGTATCGATATTTTCAAGAATTTTAGCTGTTTCAAGCTCTTTACCCCATTTTATTTAATGATTATGTACTAATCATTGTTTTCAAATTATTTTTCATTCTCGAAAGCTATTTATGAGGTTAACTAGTAGAATCATTTTTTTAAATTATGTACTCGTGACTTTCGCAACTGTAAGCTGACCTTCATAACTAAATCTAAGTCATATTTCAACGATTATTCTTTTTTGAACTCCAATTTTAACTTTTCGTTGCGACATTTTACCTGAAACACTTTCTCTATGTTTGATGTGAGTTTGAATTTGATTATAAGAACGTAGAAATCTATAATTGCAAAAGATTAATATTTTGTTATGAAATAGAATCTTTTTATTTGAAAATCTTTACAAAGTCTTACACTAGTATTAGCTCACGTATTTTAGCCTCAATAGTAAATATTAAGTATAGATTAATCACTCGTTCTTATCAAAACTAATTGAAAGAGTAACTGCACACACGATCTATGTTCTTGAGAGGTCGCTAACTGGCGTTGACAAATAATGTTTAAATTAATATATATTTGTTAAGTTTCGATACTAAAATATGATTGGATAGATGTCATTCACGTGTTACGCTACAAATTTGTCTTCATCATCTATTTATCTTATTTCTTTATCTGAATTTTGGTATCTGAAATTTTTTGTTGGATGTAGTATTCTTATGGCGCGTGATAATATATTATTTGAACGAAAAAATGTATTTATAAAAGAGCAATTATTACAAACAGAAGCACAAGCAACAGGAGCGCGTGATGAAATCACTGGAACAATAAGCATTGTTGAACATGAACGTAACCAATTCTTTCGTTTCATACCATTTGGTCTTGAAAATGTTGGAATAGATGATTGGGCATTAGTTACTAATGGTCATTCAATAGTTTCGTTTAAAAATCGAGGTAAAGATAATGATACTCTATCGGTGTCGCCAAATCCATCATTGAAATTTCGTTATCATTTTAATATAAACAATATACGAAGTGTACGCCGAAATCATATGTTACAGAGTATTTATTATCTGGTTATTGTACTTAAAGATGGTACAAAGTTACCATCATTTCATTTTAATCTTGGCGGAAGTCGAGAACTTTTACAATTATTACTTAAATATCTCCCACTTGAAAAGTAAAATTAAAACATAAGAAAAGAAAAGATTTATTTTTCTTATTTTGAAATAAGGTCAATACAAGACAATCAATTGTATGTTATAAAAGAGGATTTTGCGCACGAAACTACAACAGAACCTATCAGTGTTTTTGATCAATTGAATTTATTTGATGATTCACATAATATGATGAAACGGATTGTAAGTGGATAACAATTGTTTATTTTTTATAGGATAATCTTTACCGACGTGTATTTAGAAAGGCACTGATCCACGTCGTAAAACGATTGAACGATTTTCTAAAGTGACAAATTTTCTTAAAGATGCTTTTCTTGGTCAAAATGAATTTATTCCAATAAATGATAATTCTGATAGTGTAATGGGTGCTGATGTTAATGCTCTTATGGAATCATTTAGTAAAGATTTACGTGAATCAAATAATGATGGCTTTGAAGTTATCTATAAGGTTGAAATATTGATATGAAGCTTTCTTGTTATTTATTTGATTCGTAAGTTTAGGTTGATTTTAAAAATTTACCTGAAGTAACACGTTGTCAACCATTGACCAGCAAAGAATGGCAAATGTTCTTCGATAATGACGGACGTATTATAGATGTTAAAAAAGTAAAAGAACGTATTTTTCGTGGTGGATTAGAATCAAATATGTTGAGACGTGAAATATGGAAATTTTTATTAAATTTTTATTCATGGTCATCAACTCAGGATGAACGCATTGCAATAGCTAAACAAAGATCATCCGAATATTTTGCAATGAAATTGCAATGGAAAACAATGAATGAACAGCAAAAACAAAGAAATTGTCTATTTCGAGAACGAGAATCATTAATTGGTAAAGAAATTATCGTTTTAGAATTAGTCTAAATCGATAATCACAAAAAACAATGTGTGCACGAATTGATCTGTGAACAAAAAAACATTTTTTGAGACACTTCAAGTATGAACGATATAGAGTTTAATTTAATTTTAAACCAATGAAAATTTTCAGTAAGATCAACAAATGTTTAAACGATCGAGCTAGTTATAAAGGTAATCTGAATTCAAACGGTGAATATCAATTGGAGTGGTTTTTCTCCTAAATTATTAGATTTGATTTAGAACTTGACTCATAATCTCAGTGTCTTCATTTTGAATGAATCATTTTACAACAATGATTCATGAGTACTGATAGAGACATGTAGTTTTTCTTACGCTACTCGTGATAATGTATACTTGACAAGTTTTATGTAGTATCTACCAGATTCAAAGGATTGATTCCTTTCTCAAGACCTGTTCGTCATTGATTCTAGTATTTATTGTCATACAATATCGTATTAAATCGACCTCAAATGCCTTGTTTTGTTTTGCTTTTAGAAAAAGATGTAATACGTACGGATCGAACTCATGAATATTTTCATGCTGATAATAATATTCATCTTGAAGTCTTAAATGATGTATTGATGACCTATAATATGTATAATTTTGATTTGGGTTAGTAGCTATCAATTGTATATATCTCCGAATTGTATTCATGTTTTTTTTTTTGAAGGTTATGTTCAAGGCATGAACGATTTATTAAGTCCAATATTAATTGTTATGGAAAATGAAGTTGATGCATTTTGGTGTTTTGTTGGACTCATGGAGCGAATGGAACAAAATTTTCATATGGATCAATCACATATAAAACATCAACTTAGTAATCTTCACACTCTCCTTCAATTTATTGATGCTGAACTTGCGAATTATCTAGGTGAGAAAAGCTAGACAAATAATTTTCTAGACTTTAATAAATAATTATCGAAAACTTAATGTTGATATTGATTTTATGTCATTCATTTTGGTCCTTACAATTTATTTTAGTTGAAAATAATTCAAGTAATATGTATTTTTTCTTCCGGTGGATGTTAATTTGTTTTAAACGTGAATTTTCATTCGATGATGTTATGTGTTTATGGGAGGTAAATTCATAATAATGATTTTTTTAAAATGATTGAATTAGAAAATAACAATTTTATAGGTCTTATGGACAGATAATTTATGTCAAAATTTTGAATTACTTGTTTGTTTAGCTATTTTAATTTCACAAAAAAAAGTTATTATGGATTCAAAATTTGGTTGTAATGAAATTCTTAAAGTACGTTGCTTTATTTTTATTTGATTAAATTCAATATGAATCTATATATCGAATAGCACATTAATGATCTTTCACTTAAAGTTCCATTGGAACCATTATTAAAACATGCTGAAGGTCTATATATACTATTGAAACAACATCATCAATCAACACCTGGCCTGCCACCATCGATATCAGCAATTTTATTTCCAAATAAAAATAAAAACTTTAGAAAACAAAACAAAAATCATGATCATGATTCGGATTCAGATGCAACATCAACAATATCATCAGTAAAATCTTCACGTGAACCGTCACCGACACCTAATGTTGAACGAAAAGCGCGCACAAGAAATTTAACTGAATCACATTCAATTGATGAAAATGATAGTGCCGTTGTTAGCCATACAAAAAACAATTAATTTTGTATTTTTACATATTATTTTCGTTGTTGCTGTTCGATCTGTTTCATCTATTATTTCCTTTTTCTAAATATTTATCAATGTTTGTTCGCTTGCAAAAGATTCTGTTTCGAGAACAAACATACAAAATATCATAATCAAAATATTTTTTGCTGCTTCACACGTCTAACACGTTATTTATTATTCTAGATATTCTACATTGAAAAATGAGTAAAAATGAGCTAGTCAGCAAGAAAGTTAACTTAGATGACGATGATGACGACGATGATGATGATGATGATTATTGTCCAACAAAAAATCAAAATGACCAATCAGACCCAAGTGATGAATCAGATCATAATGATGATGACGATGATAACGTCGATGGTACTACCAATAGTCAAGACCAACAAACAGATAATAAGAAAAAAGATGACACTTTGAATATAACACCTTATGATGCATCAAAAACAGATCAACTTTGGAGAAGTTTTGCAAGTAGTACAAAATCATTACCATCATCGACAGCAAACAATAGTGCAAAGACGATAACAACAACAGAAATACCAAAACCACAAGTACAAACTCCAAAACCAATAGTAGCAAATAAAATACTTGAATTTGCTGGAGAAAAAATTTCGGTACCAGTTACAACCATTGCAAAGGAATCTACTGAAAGTGCGTCTTTGAAACGACCAGCTCCTTCGTTAACAGGATCCAATTCCGTACTCGATCGTCTTGGTATCGGTAAAAAGCAGAAATTATCAACATTAGAAAAATCTCGTCTGGATTGGGATTCGCATAAAGCATCGGAATCATTAAAAGATGATTTGGATTCTCATCGACGTGGCAAAGATTCATATGTTGAAAAGAAAGCATTTCTACAACGCACAGAAATACGTGAACATGATAACTATTTAGCTTATGTAAAAAAGAAATGAGTTTCTGTTATATTCTCATTATATAGATAATATTAAAAACCAAATAGATCTAAGAATCTCCTTTGTCTAAATCAAATCATATGATTAATGTCTATTTTGTTTTATCTGTTTGTCTAGATAATTTTGAATTTATCTCCACTGAAATACACATCTTCTAATATTTCATCAGCAGTCATAATTCACGTTTTTATACAACAAAATATAAGGTATGATCAAAGTAAATATTTCTCTACATTCTTAACACGTTTGAGTTGGTAGAAATAGTAGTAGATAACAATCATTTCATATGAATAGGAGTTTAATCTGCAGTTTTAATCAGTAGCAACTCGGTTGATCAATTTTTACGTGAACACATGCATGACTTAATTTATAATTATGTTCTATAACTATAAAAAAAAGATTTGCCATTTTAGATTTCAGATATCATTTGGTTATGCAATAAACAATGAGTCGAAGTGTCACGTTCAAAATAGTACTGTTAGGAGAGGGCTGTGTTGGTAAAGTAAGAAACTTGAGTAATAGCAGATTTGTTTCTCAAAGGTCTATACATTTCTTTGTTTTAGACTTCCATTATTTCATGCTACACGGAAAATTCATTTAATAATAAACATATTGAGACACAGCAGGTGAGTTCATGAGTTCAATAGTATGACAATTGTTCACTATGTTTTAATTAGGCTTCCTTTAAATCAAAAAGATTAACTTTAGATGGTCGCCGAGTTGATTTAGCTATATGGGTCAGTCAAATTGTTATTAGCAAATGTTTATTTAAATTCTTCTTCTCATTAGGATACAGCAGGACAAGAGCGATTTCAAGCACTTGGGTATTTATATTTAATCAATTGAAAATACCTGCCATATTGAATTATGTTTTGTTTTTAGTCCTTTATATTATCGTGATGCCAACGGTGCTCTCCTAGTTTTCGATATTACAGACGAGGATTCGTTCAGTCGAGTATGCTTGTCTTATAATGAAAAAAATTAAGCGAGTAAAATTAATCTTTTATTTAAGGTAAAAGGTTGGGTGAAACAATTAAAACGAATGCTAGGCGATGATGTGGTTTTATGCATTGTTGCAAATAAAATCGATCTTGAAAAAGACCGTCATGTATCCATCCAAACAGCCGAAGAATATGCTCAATCAGTCGATGCAAAACTTTACCATACATCAGCTAAGCTCAACCAAGGGATTGGAGAACTTTTTAATGATTTAGCTGCTCGTAAGTTTTTTCTTAATAATTGAAAATATTCAATAATTAAAATGATCTGTTTTTCAAAGGTATGCTTCAAAAAGTACCATCAAATTCAAATAATACGAGTACACTTCGGCCAGGAGGCATTCCTATTCAACCGTCTTCAACAGCAGACGGCAATGATCGACCGAAGAGTAGCACTTGCTGCTAGTAGTTTTTGAATTTTGTGTTTATTAATGTGAAAATCAAAGTTTAAAATAATAATTATTTTTTTTTAATTCTCTTATATTCTATTATTATAAAAATGAAAATACTACCATCTAAAAACAAAACTTTATCTTAAAGAAAAACAGATTTTGAATGAATTTCCTCAGCTAGCTCAAGAGAACATATCAGATTCTGTATGAAGTACGAAACAATAGAGATAAATATTAATCATTCGCATAAGTTAAGTTGAACAAATAATCGATTACATCTTAATTAATAAAACAGCTGAGTATATTCTGTGATCCAAATAGTTTGGTTCATCGCGTCCTTTTTCTTGCACACACTCTTCAGTAATATGTTTTTTTTTATTGATATCGACTATGAGCAAATTTTGATGATACGTCTCATGACGTATTTTAATACACAAGTTCAAACAATAATTGTATCAATGGATAACCAATCGTTTCTAAAATAAACTTAAGTGAGAATGTTCGGCAGTAATCATGCTTATTTTGTACAACGTTCACTGAACTACATTTTTTCTTGAAGCGGCTGCATACTAATTATATGAATTCCAGATTTCTAGGTTTGATGTAAATCAGATATATTTTCAAAGAATATAGTGAGTGTAAGTTTATATTGAAGTGTTGCGACTTTCTTGTCCTGTCTCCAGATTTCCCGTACAGGCCCGAGCAACTGAAAGACACTTTAATGTAAATATTACGGATATTCTTTTTTTGATGCAGCGAAAATATCTTATTGACATAGCTCAACAATAGGATAAATCGTATTCATGCAGTTCCCAGATGAAGGACATCCATTCCTAAATATTGGATGATTCACAATGATTATGACAGTCAGCACTTGGGAAATATTTCACAACAGTTGGATCACAGAATCCTAAAGTTTCTTTTTCAAGAGGGCACGCCTTGAATTACTCTGGGAGAATGGTAAGAATAAACCCTTTGGATTATTTCAATGCTTCTTTTTTTTAGGCTGAAGTGGAAGAGCTGTGCGATAGTGAAATGGCTCATTATTTTGATAGAAAGAAAAGTGAAATTATAGTCAAAAAACAGTCTTCTTGCTATTCCAAGAAAAATATTTACTAGTATTATCTTTTGCTTTGTAAAAAAGAATTGAAATAAGATAAAATGAAGTTCATGAAAATACTATTATCTTTTAGAAAAGATCCGATCGTATTGCGCACATACGCACAGCTTGCAGCCACCTTTTGTTAGGTTATATTTACTTTGTTTTCTACATTCTTTTGTTTTTCAATCTTTTGAAAATGCACGTTTTCATTAACATTATCTGAGATAGAACCCTCAATCAGCTCAATGTTTATGAGATTTAAATGGTTTGACGTTCTTTTGAATCATTCGTGGTATTTTTCATCTGTATATGATACTCCTACATCTTGTTGCAGATAGAAGTTCTAGTGTCTAAATAATCGATCTATTAAAATGGTCACAATATCTTGCGACATATAAAGGAAAATAATCGTGGTTATTTTCGAATTTCTTGCTCTCAGAATATTACGATATTTCACTATCATACAGTGCTTCACTCTCAGCCTTATTGAAATATTATTGGAGGAACTCAATGGAGTTTTTTTATTACCACTTATGTAGAGAATTTCATTATGCATGTTGTCAAGAGGGCTTACGATTCTACGATTTGCCTGTGCTGAAATATTTTCAAATTACGAACTGGCGCACTCCGTATGACTCACTCAGGACGAAACACTTTCTTTCTATGACATTTTCTGAATGCGAGACCAAAGCTTACATAAGTGTTGGAGAGAACATCAATGTTGATTCATCCGAAAAAAATAGCTCCCAGTCACTTCAATAACGGCATTCACTATCGTGCCATACATAAATTGTCAATTATAGTTGCACTAGCAATAGTGCATCCACAATCACATTCACAGACATGCCGTCTTCAATCAAATGGTCATAAGACGCGCCGAAAATTCTACCATCTCCTCACAGGGGCGGCGGAGCGTCATTAAGCTAGGTGAGGCTCATCATATTTTTCTGCTACCGTGGAATTTTATGATACATCAAGTAGTAAATAAGTCTTCTTTTTATTGAACTTCAGTAAAAATAAAAGTGGTCAGTAGAAAAAAAAGAAGCTTGGAAAATACAGAAAACTACTTTTCTTTGCTCCTACTCTGATGCAAGAACAAAAAATAGCAATATTCAGTACAAAAGCTAGCGAGGCTGAGTCTCATATCGCGAAATCTAGGTGAGGTTGAACTTCATCTGCTGAAAACTAGATGAGGCTCAAGCCTCACCTGTCTCAATTGCTCCGCCGCCACCGTCTCCTCATCATATTCATACCTAAGCATGATCGATTTACTAATATGCACTCAAAAAAGTACAATGATACTTCCTAGATCTTGCTCTCACGATATTCCACACTAATATTCGCATTCATGTGCGCATCCTTGTCCCGTAACCGATAAACAAGCTAGTTGAAATATTCCAATGTCACAACTTTCACTATAAGTTCTATATAAGTTTCTCCGGAAATTATGATGTAGTAGAATGCGTTGCGACGAAAATGCATTGTTTTTCTGTGACACAAGGTTATTATCGTTCAAGAGTCGGCTATCAATGAACTATTTAATTGCTGTTGTTCATGAAAAGTAACGAGTCAACCGTATTGATGACATTATGATGATGGCGGGAGTATTGAAAGAGGTATAGTGTAACTTTACAATTGAGTTTATTATTTTTTACCTGAAGTTATGAAATAGTTATTTACTTATTTTTACTCGCAATTTGAATTTCGTTTTCAAGAGTGATGAGAAAGTCAGAAAAAATTATTTGCTTACGAAATCATCACCAATAAAGCATTCATAAGTCTTTTCTCTTATTTTTTTTATAAATAGCGAAATTTTGATTAGAAGAAAGTGACATCGACTGGCATACTGCTTATTTGAATACGAAAGAGAAAACCAATTATTGAAATAATTAAAAATATATCGAATTTTGAAAAAATAACCCAACATAAGTAAAAAATCTGATTTCGATTCTGAGCTACAAATGGCCATGGCACATCGAAAGGCAGAGACCGATACTCAAATGAGTGTTTGGGCATTCAAACCAGCAGCTCACCCAGCTACCTCGTATCCATCGATCAATAGTACTTTCCAACCTGCTACTACGGAAGATATTAAAGCAGAAAAGTAAAACTTAAGAAATCTTTTTTTAAAATAAAACATGTCTTGTTATAGTTCGAAAAGCGATCCATTGAAATCTATCTCATTGTGGTCGTCTTTTAAATATGGTCTTACCGTTGGTATATTGTTCGGTGGTACAATATTCGCTATAGTTCTTACTATCTGGTTGATGTCACCATCAACTGCAATCGAAAAAACTACATCAACAAGTAAGGAAGAGATAATGATTCTTTTTTTGCCTAATAATGTATTCATGTGTTGCCTTACTGTCTGCCACGCTATACATCCTTGACTAAATGCAGAATTTATACGAGTTGCTAAGGAATATGACTTTGCCGCAACATATCGCATTGAATCATTGACTATTTGAGTGAGCCTAACACCTCAAAAACAGCAGAAAATTTTGTAATTTGATATACAGCATCACCGTCATTTTTTTAGCAACAACGAGTACAACAACGACGACTACAGCAACATTCTTTTCATGTGGTTATTCGTGCGTAGGCCAAACATGGGCTTCGACAATCAATCAACTCGCTCAATGGTCATTTGATGGAACCGTTCGTGATAATACAAACAATTACTTGACTTCTACAAGCGTAACTCCAACATTTATTACTGGATACAATAATCAAGCGCTTTTTCTCAATTCTACATTGAACCCATCGCTTTCGACATCATATATTCCTTTGGGAAATACTAGTTTTACCATTGATGCCTGGCTGTATCCTACGACTTTTTCGAATTCATCCGACCAAGTTCTAGTTTCCATGTGTCCTGTGATTAACAACAGCAGTTGCTTGTACTTGGCTATTCGCAGAAATAATTCGAACCACTATTTGAGTTTTGGCTTCTACAACGATGACTTATGGGGAGCAACTATCTTATCACTTAATCAATGGATTCATGCTGCATTCGTATTCGACATCAGTGCGTTTCAACAATCGATCTATCTCAATGGATTTCTCGATAGTTCGCGCAATACATTCAATCCATTACTAGCGTTTTCAGGAAATTTTTGCATTGGCTACAATTCAATCATGTTTCTGGGCAACACATCGTTTGAGGTATAGATATCTTACGTTTTATATTCTTTTTATATTTGCAAAAAATCAGACATCATGAAAAATGTCAGTAGAAAGTTTAAACAAGAATGGTATACCTATTTAAGGTTGAATACTTTAGAGATAAGACGTTCCAAATAGATGCATTCATTTTTAATAGTACTCGAAAATAATTTGATATTTTTTTCTTGTCTATTTCATTCTTTCTCGAGTCGATTGCAGCTAAAGGGTGTTGGAGATAAATATGAAATCTCTCTCGTTCTCTCATTATGTTGCAGGGGTATATAGATCAACTGTCAGTAAGTTCTCGAGCCAAGTCTTCTTGTGAAATACTCGAAGAGGCTTCACTCGAGGCATGGCTTACATTCGATAATGGAAGATTGCCACTTCTCGACATTGGACCCTATTCATTATCAGTTACTGCCTCCGCATACACCATAATATCCGGTCGTTGGTCTTCTCCAGCAATTTCGTTACTTGGCTATTCGCAGAAATAATTCGAACCACTATTTGAGTTTTGGCTTCTACAACGATGACTTATGGGGAGCAACTATCTTATCACTTAATCAATGGATTCATGCTGCATTCGTTTTCGACATCAGTGCGTTTCAACAATCGATCTATCTCAATGGATTTCTCGATAGTTCGCGCAATACATCCAATCCATTACTAGCGTTTTCAGGAAATTTTTGCATTGGCTACAATTCAATCATGTTTCTGGGCAACACATCGTTTGAGGTATAGATATCTTACATTTTATATTCTTTTGGTGCATGAAAAATATTAGTTGAAACCTTTACAAAGAATCTGCTAATTATTTGAGATTAAATAGTTTATTAAGATATCAGTCAGCTTACCGTTATCTGATTAGTTTATTCTCATCGACTAGAACATACATTCGCGATAAAACTTTCCAAATAGATGCATTCATTTTTAATAGTACTCGAAAATAATTTGAGTTTTTTTTCTTGTCTATTTCATTCTTTCTCGAGTCGATTGCAGCTAACGGATGTTGGAGATAAATATTAAATCTTTCTCGTTCTCTCATTATGTTGCAGGGTTATATAGATCAACTATCAGTAAGTTCTCGAGCCAAGTCTTCTTGTGAAATACTCGAAGAGGCTTCACTCGAGGCATGGTTTACATTCGAAAATGTAAGATTGCCACTTCTCGACATTGGACCCTATTCATTATCAGTTACTGCCTCCGCATACACCATAATATCCGGTCGTTGGTCTTCTCCAGCAATTTCGTTCACTGGCTCGAATACTTCATATTTTCAAGCAATCGGCTTTACTGCTCTTCGCATTTCCAATCACGAATTCTCCATTAGTTTTTGGATGTATCCTGAATCATTATCAGGCACACTTGTTCATGTTTCAAGTTCATTGAATGGTACTGGCTGGTGTATGCCATTCATAGGTCTCACAGGTAATGGGTCATTGGTAGCACAGATATATAATGGTGTCACTCTATCATTATTGGGACCGAATGTTTCTTTGAGCACTTGGTATCAGATTGTACAAACATGGAGTCCTACAAATGGCTTAAAACTCTATGTGAATAGTTGGATGACATATTCTTGGAGTTCAGCAACTTCTTTTCTGGCAAGTGGTTCTTCGCCAATGTATGTAACGTTGGCTAATAGTCTTTTCGGTTCAGGAAGCTGTCATGGAGGAATGCTCAACTCGACCATGCCATTTATTGGTGCCATTGATGACTTTAGAGTCTATGGTCGAGAACTGACAGCCACCGATGTGTGCACGATCTACAATTCATAATCGCGAATTATGAAACGAGTTTTTGAGTAACAATTTATTTTTTTCTGCTCTTACGTACAGCCATTTTTTTTCTAATCTGTGGCGTGATTAGTAACCTAGCTAACTTTTTTATTATACTTACTGATGAATAAAAGGAAGATTAAAATTGATTCAACAAAACACAACAGAAGCAGAGACAAGTATATTGAACTGATTAGCTATCAAATAAAAATATAGTCATCATGCTGAAATACATCATGAAAATAAATGCAAGTGTTTTTTGACGAAAGCAGTATTAGGCACAGATGCATATTCATATCTTAGTGGCATAACCAGATTTTCAGTTTGAAGTGAGGTCAGTTCCGTAAAAGATCACTTTCGGATTCATTGGACACATGTGATTTGACTAACCTCCAACGCCATCTTTGTAGTGTAACAGAAGGTATATCGAATGGTATGTACGGATTTTTGTTTGTATGAAGTTTTAGTTTGATTGCAATGAATTTATTGTTAGTGTGATGTATAACCCAATATTGAGAGTAGTGACTCACATGAAGGGGTCCTACCGTAAGTTTAAGAAGTTAATAAAGAGATATTACACTATATATAGTTTGGAGAGATTTTCACGGGCTACAACCTGATATACTCTACATCTCTAATCGATTTCTCTTTGATGGAGAAAAACATGATTGTTTATTTTCAACACATTATCCACCGAATGGCGTGATTTGGATGTGAGGGTGTCGTGCCATATGTAGAAGATGGGACCAAGCGTTAATATTTGTCAAAAATTGCATTAAAAGAACAATTTACAAAATGTACTTGTTAGAAGCTTTCTAACATGGCGGCAAAGTCTCTAAAAATTTTAAAAAATGGTGGCTACGGCTACTTACCAAATTTGTTTTCTATGATTTTGTAGTTTTATGATATTTTTCTGGTTCGATCAAGCTCCCTTCTTTTAATCTAACACGACAATGACGTTCAGCGATCAAGCTTGTATGAATAAAAATATTTTTCGAATACAATAGTACGTTATTGTATTTTATCTCCCCAGTACAACAACAAATTCTATTAGTATATGTATAAACTCGAAGGAAAATAACTTTTTCGAAACTGAATATAACATATATGTTGCAGCCCTGTGTTTAACTATAAAACTGACTATTGAAAATGTAGGCCATCTCTATATTTTTCTGTTTATTTTTTGAAAAAAAACAGAAAGAGTTCAATGCCATTAAACATTTGCTGCTTGTGACATTTTCTTGTGATTGGTTGTCAGTCTTTTCAATAGATCATGATCTTTCTTGTTGAATTGATCGGTTCTATAGTTAGTGGTATGTACCAAATATGACGAACATAGCCTACGTATCACAGTATTGTTGTCACATGAACTCAATAGCGGATCTTTCGTTTTCCACCTTTGTAGTGACAAATATGGTCTTTGACAGGTTCGTCTTCATCATTATTATCAATTTCAATATATATGAAATATTGAGTGTTACCCGAATGACAACTATGAAGTTGACATAGTATAAGTTGGTCATTATCTACGGACATTTTCAGCTCGAATTCGTTTTCATTCTCAAATAAATGAGTCTGCGCATACCGCTGGCTCATCTTCAGCTGATATGTAGCTTACGTGTACTTACGAAAAAAATCAAGGTCCGAATGAGAAGAACTGATATTGTCACGTACGTCGAATAATTTAATCCTATTTTTTCTTAGTGACAGTTAAACACTAGAAACCAACGTTTTGATATTGATGTGCTGGTTTAACAGGCTAAGCATCCGTTGGGCTATATGTACAGGTTCTACCGACGTAGCATCGTACATAATTGGTCGATATTTGCTTAAAGAAGCAGCTACAATACGACTTAGTGTTCCAAAATGAAGTAACTTTGATTGATCGATTCGTTCAGGAAAAAACGTCACTTCTTGAAGCGAGCGCGAAAAGTCTCGATCATCCATCTGCACTTAGTGATCAAAAGAGATTCATTTAGTATCATTAGTAGAAAGTTGTTTATTCCCATTGAACAGAAATCGAGGAATTTTTAAAGCGTAACCTAGCGCTTCAAATTGTCTGACCACGTCATGTAAGCCACGATCTACAATATTTGTATCATTATTTTCGAACAATATGGATAATGCGGTGCATTTATCCAGAATAGCTCTTGAAATGGCAGCATCGTTGTGTTTCCCATAGAAGGGACCTGGTAGGTCAAGTATATAACCATCTGAAAGAGCTTAAGTCATCTGTTTGATTGGATGTATACATTTATGGGCGGAATAGCAATCTCGTTAGAGTATATAATATTTCAATTTGTTGCAGTAGACATATGTACCGGCCCATGTAATTGATAATTGATCAACAAAAGAAGCTTTTGTATATATGCAGTATGATGGGTTAGTGATTCAGTTCTTTTTAGACGGATCAAATCGAGGTTGGAAGAGACAAAAACATCGTTCAGATCGTTTGTGACAGCACGAAGCGTCCCTTCGCTACGTCATCGAATACTTTCTTCTCACGTAGATATTTTAAAAGTACCGATCTATCGAATTCATAGATTAGTCTTTAATTTTATCCAAAATTGGCCAATAGCTTCAAAAGGTGTACGATGCTTCGATAAATGTATGTGGGATTCAACGAGTGACGTCATTTCTTTCAGCTGCTCCGGTGTCCAGCCTGCCTAACTGAATTAGTTCTCTTTAGATAAGATAATGCTATTATCAGTCATATATAATATCCTTTTTACTCGTGATAATTCAGTATTAAGATCAATAGTGAGATTAGCTCTTTATTTAGACGATAGATGAGTTCGTTCGTGTCGGCATTTTCGAGGAGTATTGTAGCAAGAACCACTAGAGTGATGGATGAGCATTAGGAGATATACAGTACAATTACAAGTTGTGCTCTCATGGACGTGCCATATGTTTGGACAAGGGTAACTGTGTCATTTCAAGTATGTATTTCATACACCACGGATAATTAATTTCATTATCACCATTCCCATAAATATTATCAAAAAATAATAGATTGTCAAAAGTAAGGGTTTCCTGTTGTTGTTCGTCGTCAGTCTTCCGTGCTCTTTCAGATCATCACCATTGGAGGTTGATTTCATATTTGAAGCACTTCAATATTCGTTGCAATTGATTATCTCTGGTTCACGTTCAATTTCACGAATTTATAAGAAATTGTGTAACGGTCGGTATGTTTTTAAATTTTATACCGATCGAAAACAAAATTTGGAAGAATGCTTTTTTATTTGTTATTTGTAGCACTGCTCACCACTCTAACAGACATAAAATTGTGTTGCCTTTGAGGCGTATAGATATAGCTGCCAATAGTTTGCGTGTGTTCCCTCATCTGCAATAGCCCTTCATTTTCCCAACTAGTATCGTTGCCTTCCTTAGGTAAACGTGTGTGTTTACTCAGCTTGAAGCGTCTTTCTCCAAGCAAGTCAGGTGTTTTGAGTAATTGATTGTTTACGATCGAAAGATTCAAACATCACATGATGTTTTTTACGTATTACTTAGATAGTCACCATCAGATATAATTAGAGTCGATAATCTATAGATTCAATGCGGTGAAGATTGGGGTACTGTGACTTTATATCGTGATTAGTCGTATATAGTAAAAACAAACCAGGAATTAAATCTGATTTCATTGAGATACGTGAAGCGACGTACCTTCAAAATCAACGATAATTTTTTATTAAATTACTAGCTAATGAGGAAACTCAATAATCTATGAAATCGTGAATGACATTTTCTTTGTAATCGAATTTTCTAATATACTACAGGAAATTCAAAATTTAAAACTGACTCTCTTTCGTAGGACTGCGTTGCTCCTATGCTTAATCGAGTGTCACTTTCAAAACTCTTGAGAAGTCTATTAGAGTATAGATTCGATTCAGAAGAAAGAATATGATTGAATGAAAATACATTTACGTCATACAAAAACTGTCTGATGATGTTTTTATAAGTTTTTTTCATTCCGACTTCTTATATAGATCCATCGTGCAAGTCATCTTGTGGATAACAAGCTAACAGCAATTATTTAGAGTCCGTCTATCGTCAGAGCTTTAAAAGACATGTCGATAGATCATTGGAAATTTTTTAATCTCGATGACACAATTGAAGCGAGAAAAACTATCAAAATTTCCATATTTCATTGATATGATTTGCAATGCTGCTCAATCGATATCTCGCTATTTCAAATCACAAAGAAAATAAACTTGGATTTGTCTGGGTTCCTTTAAATAATTATATTATTGCGTTGGAAGACATCAACCGTCTATTGTCTTTGTTTTATTAGCTCACTAGACCGACGCAGAATGAAAAATTTCTTCTCCATGTATAAAAAAAATGCTCGTAAACTTCGGAGTGTGACCTGGTACAAGTGCACTTTCGTAGTCATTAATGACCCGATGGCGAACTGCAAGCTAAAAGAATATCGGATAGCACATGGGTATTGGCTCAAACAGTGTAAGCGATATGCATGACTACATGAATACCCTTGTGTCGATACCCGATAAGTAAACTAGTTGAAATATTTCAGAGTCGCAATTTGTCTTATACATTTTGTCGAATTCGTCGCAAAAGAGTGAAACCGAAGAAAGAGTTGTGATAAAAATTAATTTCTCCCTTGTGGTGTATGATTGTTATTGCTCAAGAGCCGCTTGTCAAAGAATCATTTCTTGGGTATCGCGGACGAAAAGTGAATAATCAATTTTTTTGATCACATTGTAATGATGATTTCAACATTGGAACAAACACAAAACAACTTTACAGTCGAGTTCATCATTTTTTTAACTTGACCTTAAGCAAAAGGTTTTTATCCATTTCTTGTTCGCACTTTGCATGTATTTATCAAGAGATATGAGAAAGTCAGAAGAAAACTATTTGATTATGAAGTCGTAATCCATCGAGTATTCCTAAGTATTCTCGCTGTTTTGGTGTTAGTAGAGAAATTTCAATTAACAGAGAGAAGTATTGATTTGCATACTGCTCATTTGAATACGAAAGAGAAAAGCAATCATCAAAACGTATAAAAAATATACGGAGTTTCAAAAAATATACTCAGCATAAGTAAAAATTCTCATTTCGATTGACTGCTACAAATGATCATGGCACACCGAAAGACAGAAAACGATTTTCAGAAGAGTGTTTGGGCATTCAAACCAGCATCTGAACCAAAAACATCTTATCCACCGATGGACAGTAACTGCGAGCATGCTACTACGTAAGATATTAGAGCAACAGTGTAAATGTTAACAGATTTTTTTTGTTTTAATGCAACATGTCTCATTATAGATTGAAAAGCGATCCCATGAAACCTGTCTCATTGTGGTCGTCTTTTAGAAATGGTCTTGTTATTGGTACATTATTCGGAGGAATAATATTAGCTGCTGTTCTAACTTACTGGTTGTTATCGCCATCAACAACAATCGAAAACCAATCAACAAGCACATCAACAAGTATGATGTAACGATTTTATTTTTGTCCGATAATGAAAGAACAAGTTGTTTGCTTTATTTCCGGAAATATTAGCTCGGTTAAATCCAGAATTTGCACCGTTAAAAAAGAAAAATTTAGCACGCTAGACGAAATTTGTTACAGTAACATTGAATTCATTTAAAAAAGAAGATTATAGAATGTTTTCACACAGAAGAAGTCGATGATATTATCGAATGACTTCATATGTAAATAATCATAATAGATTGAAAAGAAGATTGTCTAAATATTGCTTTTACCACGTAAATGACTTTTTTTTTAGCAACAACGAGTACAACAACGACGACTACAGCAACATTCTTTTCATGTGGTTATTCGTGCGTAGGCCAAACACGGGCTTCGACAATCAATCAACTCGCTCAATGGTCATTTGATGGAACCGTTCGTGATAATACAAACAATTACTTGACTTCTACAAGCGTAACTCCAACATTTATTACTGGATACAATAATCAAGCGCTTTTTCTCAATTCTACATTGAACCCATCGCTTTCGACATCATATATTCCTTTGGGAAATACTAGTTTTACCATTGATGCCTGGCTGTATCCTACGACTTTTTCGAATTCATCCGACCAAGTTCTAGTTTCCATGTGTCCTGTGATTAACAACAGCAGTTGCTTGTACTTGGCTATTCGCAGAAATAATTCGAACCACTATTTGAGTTTTGGCTTCTACAACGATGACTTATGGGGAGCAACTATCTTATCACTTAATCAATGGATTCATGCTGCATTCGTATTCGACATCAGTGCGTTTCAACAATCGATCTATCTCAATGGATTTCTCGATAGTTCGCGCAATACATCCAATCCATTACTAGCGTTTTCAGGAAATTTTTGCATTGGCTACAATTCAATCATGTTTCTGGGCAACACATCGTTTGAGGTATAGATATCTTACATTTTATATTCTTTTGGTGCATGAAAAATATTAGTTGAAACCTTTACAAAGAATCTGCTAATTATTTGAGATTAAATAGTTTATTAAGATATCAGTCAGCTTACCGTTATCTGATTAGTTTATTCTCATCGACTAGAACATACATTCGCGATAAAACTTTCCAAATAGATGCATTCATTTTTAATAGTACTCGAAAATAATTTGAGTTTTTTTTCTTGTCTATTTCATTCTTTCTCGAGTCGATTGCAGCTAACGGATGTTGGAGATAAATATTAAATCTTTCTCGTTCTCTCATTATGTTGCAGGGTTATATAGATCAACTGTCAGTAAGTTCTCGAGCCAAGTCTTCTTGTGAAATACTCGAAGAGGCTTCACTCGAGGCATGGTTTACATTCGAAAATGTAAGATTGCCACTTCTCGACATTGGACCCTATTCATTATCAGTTACTGCCTCCGCATACACCATAATATCCGGTCGTTGGTCTTCTCCAGCAATTTCGTTCACTGGCTCGAATACTTCATATTTTCAAGCAATCGGCTTTACTGCTCTTCGCATTTCCAATCACGAATTCTCCATTAGTTTTTGGATGTATCCTGAATCATTATCAGGCACACTTGTTCATGTTTCAAGTTCATTGAATGGTACTGGCTGGTGTATGCCATTCATAGGTCTCACAGGTAATGGGTCATTGGTAGCACAGATATATAATGGTGTCACTCTATCATTATTGGGACCGAATGTTTCTTTGAGCACTTGGTATCAGATTGTACAAACATGGAGTCCAGCAAATGGCTTACAACTCTATGTGAATAGTTGGATGACATATTCTTTGAGTTCAGCAGCTTCTTTTCTGGCAAGTGGTTCTCCGCCAATGTATGTAACGTTGGCTAATAGTCTTTTCGGTTCAGGAAACTGTCATGGAGGAATGCTCAACTCGACCATGCCATTTATTGGTGCCATTGATGACTTTAGAGTCTATAGTCGAGAACTGACATATGACGATGTGTGCACGATCTACAATACATAATCGCGAATTATGAAACGAGATTTTGAATAACAATTTATTTTTTTCTGCTCTTACGTACAATAATTTTTTTTCTAATTTGCGCCGTGATAATTTACATGATTATTAACCTAACTAACTCATTTATTATACTTACTGAAAAAAGAATAAAAAAGAAAAAAAATGAACAAGTTCACATATCTGTTCTGGAAAATATGCTAGTGGGATTGATAGATCTTCTACAAGTCTGCCAAAGTGTGGCTTTATCTTGAAAAAAAACAATTTCCCTAATATGTTATGGCTCAGCATCCATCGAGCTTGTAAGTAGGCTGTTAATCCAAGACTCAAGAATTTAACTCATTATACGAATAGAACTCAAGAATATTATAGAAATTAAGAACTGTGCAATGACAATTGATGCCATTGTAGTTAGGTAGGCGCCAGCAGAAGATTCACTTCAAGTTCAAACTGTTGCACTATGCTTTTATGAGAAACTATGTTTGAAAATTAAAATCAGCAACATTAAATGGTCATCTCCAATGGAGATTTTCCTATCAGTTAGGCTGAAATACGTAATAATATTGCTGCTAGAAATATATTTAGGAATGTATACGACTTTTAACCGTTATTATTGCTGTAATCATCGTGCTAGGAACACTTCATTTTTGTAGCAAGTGCTAACTGTGACGAGAAAATTTTGCGACTAGAATTATGAAATTTGGTTTGGATTCACCTTTCTATATACATTTATAATATTCTAACAAGTTCTACTATCAAAAGACATTGAACAAATGCTTTGCGCAGGAAAGAAGAGATATGGATATGAACTTAAGATATGAATTGGTTCAAACATTTAGGTATGTATCGTTCTTTTTTCTGTTCTGTCAACGTCACAATGTTGATGTCTCGGTTGAAACATCAATTCTTCATTCTCTACAAAGAACAAACAAGAGAAAAAATGGCACAAAAAAGTATGAGGTAAGAAAACCAGTCATTAGTCGTTTCAAGAATAAAACGAGACGAAAAGAGTCCCATTTAGGCTTGTTACAATCATTTTTCTTTCTTACCGTAGGTCAAGTACACTGTTCTTTTCTCTCGTATAGCGAACCAGATAGATAGTTTCAATAATTAGACTAATAACAATTGATTATTTTATATCTGTCTACTTGTGATTAAGTGCATGTATACCGAAAGATTTAAGAGTTAGTTATATTGGTACAATGCTATGTGTTTATAGTGAGAATAGTAAATAATATATGTTTACTCAATAGATATAGACAGATGGAGGAATAAATAAAACAAAGTCTCGTTCAATTGCGATAATACGTTTAAATTATTGACATTGTTTTTAGTATATGTAATGTTATTTTCATAATTTATTTGCATAGACAAATGTTTCCACAGTACACTGAACGTAAGTTAATTGAAACAAACGTTTTACTTAATGTAATGATGATGAACACTGTAGGTCAAATGGGAGGCGAGTTAGCCATCTGGCTCCTAATCACTGTTGGTGCTCTACTTATTCCTCTTATTGTTATCGCCATTTGTTGCATAAGACATCAGTAAGTGTTCATTCATTCTATCAATATTTTATCGAAATTACTTCTTCGATTGAATTCTTCTGAGCTGTTTCCTCTTACTGGTTATTTGAAAATGAAAATTTCATGGAAACAATTTTATTTGCCAAATGTTCTCTCACTTCTTTTTCTGATTTACGTCAAGTCCTATTTGTGCATCATTATTATTTTACAACAAACATATTTAAGCACAAATTTCGATTCATTTTTTCATTAACAGCTGTTGGAAAAATATTCCTACTCGTCGTCTGCTCTATTCTTCTACTCTTGTGACTAACAATGTTGTAGTAATGGGTTCAAATACATTGCCACACCAGTTATGGCCTCCCCACGTATGTGAATTAAAAGGAAAACCAAAACAAATAATCCAAAAAATATACTATGTTGAATATTTATATTCTTCAATGAGTATTTTTATTTTGTGTATTTGGTGTCAGTATTCTAACTACGCTTTTTTTGATTCACATTCCTGTATTTTTTTGCACTTTTTTATTCATATAACTTTAATACGATATGGATACAAAATTTTCATTGAATTCTTATTTTGCTTTACAGTTTACCACGAAGGCCTCAAATGACCTTGATGGAAAGTCGACTTCCACGTATCATGAAAAATACGCAACAAACGAAGATTCTACGGTATAGGAAAATTAAAATTCTTTATTTTTCTCAACATTTCTTTTCTCATTGATGAATTTACGTTAGTTCGTATAATGGTCCTTTCATGAAATCAAGTAATGATGATGTTGGTGTATCATCTGAAAATAATTATAATTTGACATTTTCACGTGTGAATTCACTTAAAAAACAACGTGTTCATTGGCGTGAACAATCCGCAGCCTCAAAAAATGATGTCTTCTATTCTCGAGAAGATAGTTTTAATACTAGAATGCTAACTGAATTGCCATCAACTGATCGTAATCGTACTTTTATATTAAGTTCATCATCAGTTCCGTCTCATTTCATTCCTAGAGCAATCATTCCAGCTGGTTCAGCCGTTCATAATATTGGAACAAGCCAATTATTGTTACTGTCTACAAACCTAATGCCGATTTCATTTGATCATAATAGCCTCGTATAATTTCTTTTTGCGCTGAATATTTCAGTATTTTTGTACTTGTTTAAACGAGTTTTCTTTTTTCAAACATATAATTATAGCAACGAAACAAAGTTATAAAAAATTCTAGTAATTTTCATAATTAAGACATATTTTATAAAAATTACAGAATTCATTACATGGATATTTAATTAAAAATCATATAAAAGAAGAAGAAAAAAGAATCAAGAATTTATACAACACTTAGTACTATTTGACTCAGGTGGTTTTTGATTATCTTTTAAACGAAATGATTTTGGAGTCGATGAAATCACAATGTGTCCATCAGAAGGTACCGTAACAGTTGATGTTGGTATCTGTCCTGATGACGCTATTGCTGATGTATTATCGACTGCTTTAGGCATTTTTTTATAAAAAATACTGTTAACAATGGTAAGAAACGCTTGTTCAACATTAGATGAAGTAAGTGCTGATGTTTCCAAATACGATATATTAAGTTGCTCAGCAAGTCTTGTTGCTTGTTCACGTGATATCTTACGTTGATCAACTAAATCAGATTTATTTCCTACGAGTACAATTGGTACGTCAGATGGTGTATGTCGATGTAATTCCTCAATCCAAGTTATTATATGATCAAACGATTCAGGTTTAGTTAAGTCAAATACAGCTAAAGCACCTTCACTACCACGGTAAAATTGTGGTATAACAGTTTTGAAACGTTCTTGTCCTGCTGTATCCTATGATGATAACATTAAAACAATTTAAAAATAATTACAGAAACATAATCAATTACCCAAACTTGAGTTTTTATCTTTTTTCCTTCAATTAAAACTTGTTTATAAGCAAATTCAACTCCAATTGTTGATTGTGTATCAAGACGAAATTCATTACGAGTGAAACGTAATAAAAGATTACTCTTAACAAAGACGAAATAGTAAATTATTATTGGAAAAAAATCAAGTGTACTTTGCCAACAGAACTATCACCGATAAGAACTAGTTTAAAAATGAAATCATATTCAGCACCACCACTTGATTTTGCCATAAATATCAATATATGTGTTAGAGAGAGAGAGAGAGAGAGAGAAAGAGAAAAAGAAATTTTATTTGTCTATTTGATGACAAGACGAAGAATACGCTCGTCTACTTATAGAAACATACTTTTCATCTTATTCATTGTAAATTATCTTATCAGACAAACGTGTACTGTAATAAAGAAGATAGACACGTTGAAAAGACATTTGAAGTTATCATATTATTTTATTCTGTTATCTTATTAAAAGAAAAAAAAAAGTATATCTTGCAGTTAAACTAGAAATCGTTCGATTCTTTTTGAGTTCCGTAATTTTTTCAATTGTTTTTACAATATATTGCCACAGTAGTTAGATTTTCATTTAGCGTAAAGAAAATAATTCTATGATTACATGTACATAAATTCTAATATTGACATTTGAAAAAAATGAGGTATCACATAATGATATAGACATAAGATAATATAGTGCAGAGAGACAGTTGTAAAACAACTGAGAAAATGGTAATATGTCTGTGTTGACAGTAGATGATAAATTCACCGATATCATTTATGATACAAGCTCGAGAGTCATTATTTTTGCTGAATTTTACATTAATGTTTGATCAAAAAGAATATGATATTGCAGTAGCATTTACTAGTTAGATTAGAATTTTGCTGATATGTTGTTTGTTTGATTAAATAGAATTCTATTTATAAGCCGTTTGATTAATACATTTCATATTAACTCAAAAAATTTACATACGTACTAGGGATTTTAAAATAATATTTTGATCTATCTAAAAAGTACTATTCATCAATAGATAATGAAAAAGAAATTCTTTATTGAAAAGATACGAACTGATGAAACCCTTTGTTTTTAAATATTTTATGAATAATGACAAATAGTTCGAGATTTAGTCGTCCCAATTCATCTTCTACAATTTAAAAAGTTGGAACTCATTTCAACTGATCAACAGGTACTATATAATTTATAAACAACAATTAAGAAACTCTCCCTTGACAATATCTAGCTAATTATTTTGAGAGTCTCATATTTGAAAAATAGTATCAAGAATAGAAACAGTTTTTCTTTCAAAATTTGTTGAGAGAAATAGTATCAGAAAAAATACTTGCTGCAAGAGATAATCGATTTTGATCTGTCTTGTTTTCTATTCAATAAAATAGTTCGTTCACCTAATCAAAATATGACATGTCACACGTATTAATACTGTGAAGATAAGTTTTTTTTTGTGAACTAAGATTCAAGCAGTCAAAACCTTTAAATTCAAATTTCGTTGAATTTTGCAATAAAATTTAAGAAAAAGAAAAGAGGGTCGTGAAATCATATTTAGTTGTTGCTATCATAATTTCTACAATGAATATATACATATATAGAATTTTGTTCGTTGATATTTAATTCACCCACCCTCATAATTTCAGTTCATCCCTACTGATGAATTCATCTCATATACAATTTTTCTATACGATTTTGAAGATTGTATTCCTTTTCGTGCTTTCTCAATCATTGATCATCTATTGTTATCACTTTGACTACATTTTGAGGCGAAACATGATTCACCAATTTCAAAAATATTGTCAACTATTGCGCATCTCTCCTTTATTTGTCAATTTGACTTCATCAAACTTGCTTATTTTCTTTTCTCCTTTCATCTTACATAGATTTATACTAACATTAAAATATTAGACAAACGCATGTCTCAAATCTATCAATTAACACTGAAGAATGATCTGTATCCGTAGGCATATTTTCTTTCAGAATACCTGTCAAAATTTAAATTCTTAGTTTTTTACTTTGCACGCACGCATCTACATATATTTTACTAACTCATTAATAAATTCGCCTTAATATACAGTGGCGGCCAAAATTATCCGACCACTTTATAAAAATATATTCTTTGTTTTATATCTGAGCCATGGAAATAGCTAGATATCTGCGACTTTTACCATGTTGTTGGTCATTGTGTCTTGAGTGTCCATGATTAGTCTCAGGTCAAAACTTCGTATGTTTTATTTTTTATTAAAACGAAAAAAACATACAATCAATTTTTCATGGGTCAAAATTATCCGACCACTTGTTTTCCCGCCATTTCTGAACGCGCGTCTGATTATAAAATTTTCTTCATAATATATCATTAGAAAGAACAATTTGATTTCTACACGATGAGCTACTATTTGTTCAATTATTATATAGTATAAGAAGAACAATTGGTGATTCTTAGTTACTATGGTCAAAAAGCTATAAACAGACAGTTTCTCTCGCTAAGACTGAACAAATTACAGTGAATTATAGACTATTCGAAAGAGCGTCGAAAACCACATTATATATACTATTCGAATGAGTTTCTTCTGACTCAAAGTTAAAATTTCTCAGTCCAATATGTGCACGAAAAGGTTCGACCATTTGTATATTGTCCATAATTTTGTAGCAAAAGTTCTTCGAAATTGCTTCAAAAGCATGTATATTTGTAGAAAATAATTTTCTCTACAAAACCTGATCCTTAAAACCATATATTGATTGCTATCTTATGAGTTATGAAAGATTTACTTGAGATGTACAGCAAAAGTGAAAATACAAACTTGAGTTGTTGATAAAGATTCAGCTGGTGGATCGACATGTTTTAGCTCGTGTTTGCCACCTTGTACTTCGAGTAATAATTTAGCTTGAGTGGTTGATACTGATTCTCCTGGCGGTTCAACATGCTTCAATTCATGATCATGCTTTGTTACTTCAGCTAATACAGCTTTTTGAGTTGATTCAATCGAATCACTAGATGACATGATTAAAATTTAAGAATTATCTAAAATAAATATAACGATATTCATGTATGATTTTATTATTTAAAATAAAAATAACAGACGCTCCTATTTCATACCGACACGTTATCGATGAAAAACTCTGTAAATATTGTTAAAAGTATTCCTCTTTTACTTTAAAGGAAACAGTAGGATGTCAATATTTTTCTTTATTCATATTTGGATGTTTGTGAATGAAGATAAAGCCTCATGTGAAGTATGTAGACGAAATGAATGATTATACTCAAAACTCAAATGGAAAAAAAAGATTGGCTGAAACAAAATGCGCTTATTTAATCAACAAGACTAAAACTATGTAGCGTTGAATATATTGTGACATAGAGACATTTGTATGATGAATCGTTTTGTTCAAATATTACTCATTATTTAAATTTGGATAATCCTAGACAATTTTACTGCAAAATACTTCTATGAAAAAGGCGTTGGCATATCTAAAATATATTATTTCATTTTATGATATCAATATGAGATACTGAAAAGTAATGTACAAACTTACACATACGTATTTTAGTTTCGGATACTTTATTTGCAAAACAATATTAATCATATTACTAAAAACTGTTGTAAATATTGTTTATGTAAGAAACAACGGCTATCAAGTCTAGTAATATTATCTACTATTTATGCTCCTCTATTTGATTTCCAGTATGAAGAAAAAAGCGTCAGAAGATAGACACATAAAAAGTTGAAACTCATCTCTTATCTTAACATATATTGTTCTCTTTTCTTCGTAATTTGACCGATGTTGATGCGCACATAGTGTTGTTCTATAATAGATGGTCTTGATAAAAACTATTTACTTTTGTTTCTATAGTCTATATACCAGTTGTATAGTGCAAACAAATTTGTTTTGAAAATGTTTCTACATCAAATAGTGATAACAAATGTTTTTCATTTTCATAATGATCTTTAATAATGATTATGCATCAAACGAACAGAATCATACATTTGTATAATCATTAAAGATGAAATTTACGATTGCTGATAGTGGTAATTATGGTAATAAACTGCTGTAGTATAGTATAAAATATATCTTACTAAATCGTTTCCAATACAGATTTCTTTGTGTTGCGAGACATGACTGTGAACAAGTCCGAGTAATTAAATACTCCATATGTCTACGAATTTAAGATATAACCCATTATCTATTGTTAAAATAAGATCACTTATAACTTAAATGTGTAGACTGTCGAATCTGAAAAGACTCTAATATATCATTTCAATGAACAAAGAAAATATATTATTAAAATAAAAAAGAATTTGTAATTTTAGAAATGAAGTAAAGTAAAGTAAAAAGTGCTTTGTTCTTCTTACTGTATTTGATGGAATGTTATGTTGATCATATATTTGGACTAGCGAGAAATGACCTATTGGTTATCTCTATGAAGTGCAACAGTCTATTGTTTCAACATATATTCTAATCATTTATTTTATACCGATTGGCTAAATTTTACACACCACTACTTGAGAATGATGGCGCTGCGTGAGTGATTAATCATTATTCTTATCTATCCAGAAAGCGTTTTGCATTTGACATGTGTGAAAACATACATTCATACCAGTAGATTTATTTCAAGTCATTTTTCAAAATACTTTTTGAGTAAAAATGAGGATGAATACCGATGAATGCTCAAAATATATTATACTTGATTTTTGGTATGGCTAATTCTAATCTTTAGACATGAAAAATCTTGAATGTTACCTGAATTAAAACTTCGTTGTAGTTAAAAAAGAATAATTAAACTTGTCTATTCTTTTGGCAAAATAATGTCTTTATTTATATACAAGAAACAATGTTATTATCTAAAAATAATACCTGTTTACATTATTTATGGACGTTAAAATATAGTTTTCTCGGTAACTTCCTATAATATCCTTTTATGAATCAGATCTTTGTATACAAAGAAAATTTTTTTAGCTAAATCAGCTATTTCGTAGCACTATCGTTAATGTTTCAAAGTTGCTCTATCACTAGGCAAAGTGTCTATATCAGTGGTGTAGCCAAGAAAGAGGCAGACATCAATCGGCTGAGACCGAATGAGATCTTTATTTCATATAATTCCTACAGTTAAAAGAAATCCTATTTTTTCTCCAATATTACGATCCACTTTCCTAGTTTACCTACAAAAACTGAAAAAAGTAGGATATTACTAAAAGATGCTTTTATTTTAGTAAAATCTTCTTTTTGTTAAACAAATCGAATCGATACATTGTAATTCTTATATATTCTTCGAATATTTTGTCGGGACATTTATTTTAAATAAAATAGTCTTTATGAATGCTTGTGTGTCTTTTTGAAGCGTTTATTGCTGTTTATTACATACATGTAGATATATCAGCTTGTCAAAGTGTAATGCTGCTACGTTTTCCACACGCTTTCTTCTCATTATATCGAAAATGGTTAGAACTAGAAAGCATGTTCAAACAGCTTCTTGCTCAGTTTCTCATACTATGTTTGGCTATAAAAAGAACTTTTTTCGTTAGAGCCGCTAATAAAACTCTGATTTCTTCTGAATCTATTTATCTAAATGAAACATTTCTAAGCGCTATGCTATCTTGTACATGAGATGCCTAGTTGGAATTCAAATATAAATGAACACCCAAGTGCATGGTATCAATTCGAAAATAAGTGATACCCATGTAAAATTTTTTATTGATTTAACGAAGCATCCTTACGTGAAAAATCATTAAAAATTTAACGACTTAACGATTAAATATGTTACCTTTTTGACCGTAAACACGCGTTAAATTTTCTAAAATTAACACATGAAAACGCGTTAAATTTTTTTCACGCGTTTTGTGTCGTTAAAAGTTAGGTTTTCTACCGCGTGAAAACGTGTTAATTTGTTAGCGCATGTATATGCGTTAGTGCTGAAAGTTCTTACTGGATTTTATCAACCATTTATAGATGATCAATACTTGTAAG